ATAACCAGGACCATATATATATAATTAGTAAGTAAAATAATTAAGACTACTAGTATATAGTTAGAAAGAATCTAATAAATCTTATACTTTAAATCTAAATATAACTTCAAAAATAAAATATCAATAATATTATAAAAATTATAGCTAGCCTAGCTAAAGCCTCCACAAAGAGTAATAAGAATATTAATAAAAATTAATAATAATAATCCTAATTCTAATCTTTATATTTTAATATAAGCTTTAAAAGTCTTCTTCTAGTTTTTAGAATAAAATCTAATATTCTCTAATTTAGCACTAAGTAAACCACTAAGTAACTTTATATTTAATATTATAATATAATCTAGAAAACACAGGACTAATAATATAAAAAGTAATTTATTATTCTGCTATATCCGCCTATATTATAAAAATATTATAAAACTAGGGAAACTCTAGAAATAATTAAAATAATAAATAAAGAACTATTATAAATTATCTAATATAATATAAATAAATTAAGAAATATAATAATAAAATACTTCCTGCGGGACTCTCAAATCCTTAAAATAGATATTATTATAATTTAAAAAATATAAGAAAATCTTAATTTAAATACTATATATAATTTTATTTATAACCACCAGTTACTACATCCAGCGGTTATAATAAAGGATTAGACGTGGGTATATATATTTATCTCTAAAAAAATTAACTTAAGTAAATAATAATATATAAAATACTTATATAATATACAGGAACTCTACTTCTATAGTAAATATAAATAAATCTTATACTTATTAAATATATATAATAAAAAGAATAAGATAGCTATAAATATTTTAATAAATCTGATCCCTTCGGACAGCAAATAACTAAAGAATAAAAATTAACTTATACTAGATAATTTTAATCTCTACTATCTTATATAGGATAATAAAAACATAGAATCTAATCTTAAAATAAACTTATTACTAATCCTTACAGATAATACTAATTTAAACCTCTAGTTTAAATTAGATATTATTATCTAGAAACACGCAGGCTATTAGACTAAAATTAATCTAGTTTTTAATATTTCTAAACTAACAAGTTATCTAATTATATATAAGACTATATTAATTATATATACTAATTCTAACTACCTTCCAATAGCAACAATTATTGACCTAGATATACTATTAATAAAGCCGACATTAAGAAGGAACTAGAAGGCTATAAATATAAAAAAATATATAAATTTATAAAAATAAATCTTAAAAAAAAACTATAATATTACTTAAATAAAGATTCTATATTTAAATAAGTTAATACTGCTACAGATTACCTTATAGAAATAATATAATATATTATTATAAAATTTACTTTATAAACTAACTTTAATAAATAAATTAATCTTAGATTTATTCCAGAATACTATAAAATAATAAAAATAATAAAAAGAACAAGACATATATATATAAATAAATAAATAAAGAAAAAATAAAAAGAATATATAATAATAAGAAATAAGAAAATAAAGATTATTAAATATATTTTATAAAATATTTACTAAGATATTATACACAGAGCCGCGGAAAAAAGATCTTATAAAATATAATAAATATCATAATAGGCCAGGAATAGAAACAGAGATAATAAGATTATTTTAATTTTTAAAAATCTAAATAGTAATATAGAGATTATAAAATAGAAAATAAAGATTTTTTAATAAATCTTTTTTCTAGAGTCTCCGGAGACTGACCTATCTAATATTAATATAATTAAAAAAATTAATAATCTTAAAAAATTTTTTTAATAATAAAACAGAAGGTATAGAATACTATTAAATATATTTTTATAAATAAAATATTTAATATTAATACTATTCTTAACTATATATAACGCGTGCTAGCTAATGAAGAAATATTTATTAATATACTTATTATAATCTTTAATATTTATATATAAATAAAATATAATCTTAAATATTTTTAAAAATTAATTATAGTAGTTCTTTATAAGAGAGGCTCCTATAATTTCTATTTATCTAAATTATATAAGCTAGTTATATTACTTAATATTCTTAGAAAACTATTAAAATTAATTATTACTATATATATTATATAGATAGTAAAAAAATATAGCTTATTTTCTTACACATATCTTAGAGACTATAAAAGTATCTTAATCAACTATATAATCTAAATAATTTTTAATAAAATTTATAATATCTAGGAGAGAAATCATGTTACTAACTTATTATTATTAGATATATTAAAAATATATAATTATATATTATATATATATCTCTTGTACAATCTCAGACAAGTAAAATTAAATTATGTTATATTATAAATAATAATATTTTTATATAATTATATTATTTAGTTTTAGATATAGGAATATCTTAGCAAGCTATTATTAATATTAAATAATATCTTATAAGACTTATTTATTTTACTAATATTATTTTTATTATTTAATATTTTTTCTTCTAAGCCTATTCTAAATTTTACCTAGAAAAAGGGACCCAGATCTTTAGCTAAATAAATAATATAATTATTTTAGTTATTTTTAAAAATTATGTTATTAATGAATAGCTGCTTGAGAAAGTCCTTATTAAAGTTAATATATAATTATAATATTATATATCAAAGTTCACGCTTAATAAATTTAAACTTATTTATTTTAAAAATCCTCATATTTCTAATCTTAATCTAAATGAACTAAACAAACCGCTAAAAATCATTGATATCTAAGATTATTATAAATAAAAAAACTATAACTATCTATTTATTATAGTTCCTATCTTTCTAGAATTAATAAATTTATTAATTACTATTTAACCCTTAGAATCAGCCCGATATCTTAGTATCTAACTTAATAAAATCCTTATATTTAATATTTACTAAACTAAAACTATTACTAAGACTAATAAAAATTTTAAAGTCTTTTAAAATATTACAGACTCTATATAGAATATTTTAATTATCTTTATATATAAGATTTACTACATAGTAGTTATTTTATAATTATTATATAATATTACTATATAGTATAGTCTTACCAATTAATAAATCTCTGCTAAATAATAAGTTTATATAGAGGTAGAATTTACTAAAATCTAAAAATATATAATTATTTTAATTAATAAAATTTTTAAGAGCATAACTACAGTTATATTTAATATTAAACTTTATTTACTACCCATAAGGTAACTTATATAGTAGATAATTAAAAAAACTGTTTTATATATTTAAACAGGACTAGAGATTATCTAATCTTAAAACTTAAAATATTAATATTATAAAAAGATATTCATACTTAGAAACATGAATCTATTTAAAATCTTTAAATAAATAAAGAGTACAGTCCTTACTTCTATTTAATAAAAAAAGAATAAGAGACCTATAGAATATTTATATTAATATTTTAAAAACTATATATCTAATATAATATTTAATCTTATAAGATTATACTTACTAGACATGACTAGCTTTATTATATTAATACTATTATCCTATATATAGACAGCAGTAACTATTACAAAGATATAGAGATCTTTATAATTAATATCCACACTAAGCAGATATAACAAGTATATCTTAGTACTAAGATAAATTTAACTATATATATAACTAAATTAAAAAAAATTAAAATAGTCCTCTTCCTCGCAAGAAACACTTTATTAAAATATAACTAAATCTATCTATTTATTAATAATTAAATTATAATCCAGGTAGTAGGAGCTCCTGACTACCTATCTAAATAATTATATATAAAGATTATTTATAATAAGTTTAGAATTTTGCAAGATGTAGACCTTATAATCTATTAGATTTTTATCTATATAAAAATTAAAAAAAATAAGATTATAGATTCTAAAATAAAGCAAACAATAAAAAATAGGACTAGACTAGAATAATAAATAATTTAGCTCATATCTACTATTAAAAGGATCATTCATAGAAGATTCTAAAAAAGATAGACTAAATAATAGAAAATAAAATATATAGTAATACTAATATAGAGACTAGTAGAAATCTTTCTTAAAAAAAATACTAATACTTTATAAAAATATTCTTAAGGTATATATATCTGTGATTATATAAATATATATATAAAGAATTAAACTCGCGTACTTCCTTTATAAGATTAAAATATAGAAAAATAACTAATATAACTATGAAAAGAGATTTTAAATCCTTAAATATATATTTCTAGTGTATTCTCACTTCACAGAATTATATAATCAGATATTTAATAAGATTACTACACAAAGATCTACTCTAAAAGATAAGATTATAGATTATAATTTTATTATATTAGATCTATAAGTAATCTACTATATCACTGAATTTATATTATAAATAAGCTTACTTAGATAATTTAGTTAGATTAAACTTAATCTTAATCCTAATCTTAATCCTAATCTAGGCCAGGAACACATAAGCCTCAAGACTATAGAAATAAATATTAAAAATATTAAGTAAAAAAATCTATACATACCCTAGATTAAATAACCTAGAAAAAATTATACGCACTAAAAAGAATATACATGTAGGAAATAAGAAAATAAATAAAAAATAAAGAGAATAATAATTTATAAATAATTAATTAGATAACTAGCTAGTCAGCTACAACGCTTATTTATATCTACTTTTATATAGTATCACTTTATTTTATTATATTTAGTTATGTTAGACTACAGTAATAATCTTTCTATATTATAGTATGCGTTATTTTATGTTTACTATAAGTTTAAAGGATTTAACAGCGTTTAAGAATATATTCTTACTTTAAACAGTGAAGCACCTATATAGCTAGCATCTTACTTAGCAGGCTCGATCAGGTATAAGAATATGAATTGAATTGAATTGAATTGAATAAGATAAATACATCTCAATAGTTGGAAAACAATTTCACCATATTGGATATTATCTTGGGTAATCCACTATTGATCGGTGAGCAGTCTCACCATAGATACATACTGAAAGACCCAGTGCGTGAACAGGTCATTTGGAAACATTCACCATTTCATCCCAATAATTACGACACAATCTGCACCGTGGCCCTCGGCCCTTCCTTGGCAGTCTCTTGAGCTCTCGCAGGGGTGGAAATCTCCTTGTAGTATGCCAGCTCGCGCGTCTGACATCAATCTTTATCGTATCATCGAAGCTGCTCGATAAGGCACGGTCTGGCCGAAGGTATTATGTGAGGTCACACGACCAATCAACACATAGTTCTGGTTCAACGGCAGCATCGTCCACACCTCAACCAGAACACTAAGCAGCAGCCGACACGGCCGAAAGATAGCCTCAATCTTCACGTCAACGTCCAGAAGATACGTCAGGCATTGGTACCACTCTGCCACATTGGGCGGAGATGCTTCTCCGCTCAAGATGATGCTCAGCAGGACTTTTTCTCGGCTAGGAATCGGTGGACTTGGACTGCTTATGGTGCGGTTGAGTGGTTGGAGTGTGATGCTTGGTCTGCCCAACTTTGGGATATGGAGAGGGCAGGCTCCCGCTTGGTTTTGGTGGCAGTAGCGGAACATACCGGCAAATATCTGGGCGACTGTGACGGGTTGGCCTTGTATGTCCTTTAGTGTATCTATTAGTACTCTTGTGAAATACCGGTTGGTATTGGAAGTCGGCTCCCATCCACCAGCCGTGAGAGCCTCGGGTCCATCTCTCATGGCGGCTGGACCCGCTGAGCCACAGTCAAACAGGTACAAAACGTCACCATCCAGGTCATTGCAGGGATCGAGCATATCCTTGATATTTATCTGCGGTCTAACCAGCCGCCCGTATCGATCAGCTTGTCCTCTAACAACCTTTAGCAGACAGGCTATGTTAAGCGAGTTGAACACGTACCCAATCCACCAACCCGGACCGGTGATGGAGGCGGAAGCCCCGTAACCAGAGAAGACGTAGATTCTCAGGCTTTTCGAATGCGCCCGCGGGAAACTCCAGTTGATCATTTTGTGATTTAAATGTGGTCGGGGTTGGATCGATGGGATGACAAAGGAAGTTGTACGGTAGTTGTATATCCGCTTGAAGACATCGAGAAGTTCACTCTCGAGCGCTTCGACACCGGTGGTATCGTCCTCGAAGTGGAATGCGAATACTTCCACTTGTTCATAGTTGCTGCGGGAGGGTTGAATGTTGTTGACAGCTTCTTCGACGTCAGAGGTAAAGCTTTTGAGTGTAAGTTGGTCCTCTTGTCTGTGGTGACTCGTGGTGATGCGAGAATGCTCGGGTCTGAGAGTGTTCATTTTGAGTTTGATGAGATTGGTATTTAACAACTAGTGACTGAGATATGCGAATATTCTGGTTGTTATTCTTGACAAACATGAGTCGGGGGTTGGAGGAGAATAGGGAGATTTGTGTGCTAGGCAGAAGGAAAAGTCTGGTCCAGGAACGGATGATTCACAGGTGATGAGAGACTCACATCATTCCTACGCGCATCGATGGAAAACCACGTAAAGTCACATGAATGGATGAATGGATTGTTTCAAGTACTATGCCAAAAGCAGAGATAGAACTTGAAGGCAGTCATTTTCTAGTTGCATTGGCTTTATCGAAAGTACCAATGCCTGCTATGACTTGCGCAAAGGGGCAGCCTTGGCTAGCACACCAATTAGCACCTGTTGAGTGTTCAGCTTTGCTGCATTCTAACCTCACTTCATGTTAGTCCGGGACTGGATGGCCAAGTCGGCAACTTCACCATCGTCGCGGCCTTGTGGGCAGCGCCTCATTATGGCGGGTTTACCTTTGGTCCGAACATCCTCTATGAGCGCAAAGGCAAAAGCCATCAAAATCGGCATCCACTTGGTCATCAACATTCTCAGTGTGGCCTTCAGCAGCTTCTGCTATAATATCCTGATGTCTCCTTACGAGCAGACGTCGACCGGCCCCATTCGGAGCGCAGATGTCTCACGATTGGCGTCCTCGATGTGAATTTTTAAGAAGCTCTGGTGGCCTCATCGAATGCTGTGTGTTTGCTGACGGGGACGTCGCTCATCGTACAATTAATGTAATGTCACCGAGATCAACTGACCAGGCCTGCTGACCTTCAGTTACAAGTCGGTCGTTTATACCTCCATCAATGCGAATACCTATGCCGCCCTGGTTGCATGACACGACTTTGTTCAACACCAGCATTCCCAACTCGGCTTTTGAGCCTAGTCCTGCACCTTCTAATGGCCCGGACGCTGTGTTCAAACCAGTCATGTAGGGGGCAGTGATGATAAGGTCTGAGGAGCATATGTGAATGCTTGAATACTAGGTTATACGTGTAGATATATGTGTAACATAGATATGCTATATTATCTAATAAAGTATCTACTTACTAAATATAAAAAGTAAAAGAAGAGTTTTATATTAGTTAATAATTTTTCTAGAATAATATTTGTCACGGGGCATACTGGGTGCGCATTCCAGGTACTTCCCGCTGCACTATCAGTAAAAGGACTAGGATGTAAAGCTAATAGTTTTACACTACGCACGCTATATAAGAGTATTCAGGAACAGGATCCAGGCAGGATTCAGGCAACCACACGGGTTCAGGTAGGCAGGCAGGCAGGCACCGTGACAGATAATGTCAGCCACAAAAATTACACCACGTGAAAATAAATATAAATTTACATCCCTCCATTTATATTTTCTGTCGACGCCGTTTGACGTGCATTTGTAATTTGTTTCGTAGTTATTCAAGATTATATTATTTTATTACATACACGACTCTAAAACCGTTACTAATAATCTACTTAAGGTATGCGACGCAGGTGATGAAGAAAAATAAGAAATAAAAAAAGTAATAATCTTAAGAATCTTCTATGAAAGGCTCCAATATTAAGTACGATGGAAAAAATATAAACTTAATAAGATATAATATCTATCACATAGCCTCAAAGGTATTTTATACAAGGTGCGAGACTTTCACACCGCATTTCCACATCAACCTGGGCCCCCAAAGCGTTTGAAGCAATGGGTACAAAATTGGCATATGGGACAGGGCTTACAGCTCAGCGTGGTCTAACGCTAAATACGGAACAACTCTTTTCCATCTTAACCATGATGAGGTCTTTATTTTTCATAAAAATTACATATTTTCAGTATACTGAAAATATGCACATTTTAATCCTAAGCTTAGAGTATTCAAAAAAAGGACTCCCTAATAAAATACCCTAATAAATACCCTAAACACCCTAAAATCCCTAAATACCCTAAAAAGTTCTGATATATAGCTTATTATAGGCTCATCGTGGTCTAAAACTAAGATTCTTGACCATGATGAGCTTTTGCCAAGAACAGGTTCGGCGTGGTCTGAAATAGGCGGTAAGGTAACTGGCAGAATGTTAGACCACGCTCACCTTTTTTCAGACCACGATGAGCTGCGACCCGAAATAGTCCCCACTTCACCGCCTAGCCCTGGGAAAATAAATACAAGTATCTGGCCCAGAAAAAGAATGCTTTTATTTTCTTCTCCCATCAGCCTCAATACTCTGTTGTAGTCTCGTATGCTTTTCTTAAAATTTCACGTCCGCCTATGATGGAATTTCCCTTAGTATTTCGTTGCTTCATGCCGGATTTTACTTGGCCAAACCATGTCTCACATGCAGTGACTGGCCAAATACCTGAAACACCTCGCGCAACGCACCCTCAGGTACGACGATTATGGGGCATTTTCCACAAATTTCTGAGGCTATTCTCTCAATACTATTGCAGCTGGTTTGGGGTTACGTACGATAATCAGATTGCTCAGCTTCCATTCGGTCTGATCCTGAAGTGGTCTGATGGCACCCGGTTGGAAGAAGTCTTGACTATGGAGGTTGCCAGAAGAGCAGGCCTCCCAGTTCCGAGGGTGATCTGCTACGGGGAGCATCCAGATAGTCCGCATGCTCCAGTGTCGATTCTGATGACTCGTATTCCTGGCGATGAACTTGGCAGAGTTTATGAAACGCTCAGCGACACTGAACGAGATTCAATCCAATTGCAATTAAAAGGTTATTTGGAAGCGATGCGAAGATGGAAAAGTCCATGGGGGGGAAACAGAGTTTGCTCTTTGTTAGGCACGGCTATCAGGAGTGTCCGCATACCTAATCATCTCGCTGGCCCTTTCGAATCGGAACAAGAGTTCAACGAATACCTACTGAGACCTGCTTGGCCTGGCGCATTTCCTTCGGAAACGGAATACAACAATGCACTTCATCGTGCCAAAAAAATGGAATCAGTGCCTCATCGTATTGTTTTCACGCACGGCGACCTCAAACACCATAACATTCTCGTACGAAATGGACAAATTACAGGTTTTTTGGATTGGGAGTCAGCAGGCTGGTGCCCTGAGTATTGGGACTTCACGACAGCGCTCAGGTTCACTCGGGAAGATTTCTGGTGGTACAACTTCGTGGTCGGTCTTGGGGGTGGTCAATATATGGCAGAACTGGATTGTGAACGCGCGTTGACTTCTTTAACAAGCTCTTCGTATTACTGGTGATATGGAATTAGAAAAAGACTCAGGCCTCTCAGGAAGTTATTGACGTATGACAACTGCCTGTAATTCAGATAAATCAAAGACTACTAACTACTCGACAAGAGCCCTCCTCGGTCTTCATCCCCCCTGGCGAAAATTATGTACAGACTTTTGAGGCCCTGTGTCAAGGATGAGTGATATGTTAATATAAATGGAGTTGAGATGGTATTCCTCACACTATTTATAGTTCGCACAATGCAGAGGCTGCCACGGGCCTTGGTTGATCATTATCTGCGGCGCCCATTGCGTGTACATTTCCCCAGGCCTTAACTTCAGCCTCCAGGGTCGCTAAATTGCCGCATTTCAGGATAATCTGGCCGCTGATGGGCTTCTGGAGAAGGGCCAGAACCCAAAACACCCAAACACGGCACGTAACTCCTGGAGTGTTTAACTGGTTGTCGTATGTCCTTATGGCCTGGTCCAAATGGCCCTCCCAACCAGCTGGAACATCGGCGATCCTAAAAAGACCCACGAGAAGAAAGGATTTGAAGACTCCTGCAGTAGGCCCATGATCGGGCATCCAACCGCTTCCCTGCTGTTTGACATGGTATTTCGTGCCGCCGGTCCGAGGATGCCTGTGAAAATAGAGGCCCCAGTGGAAATCGTTCTGAACTGGAGGATGGTTTCTTATGAATAGTATAATATAGAGTCCGTTAACCTTGAGATTGGATAGAGACATAGCTAGATCCGAATTTCGATAAATCAAGGTAATGTGGAATGTGTCTCTGCGGTTCTTGAAGACTTGGGTGGGAGGCAATTCGCACTTTATAGGTTGGGGCTTCCCAGTTTAGCATCACCGACACTCACTGGTGGGTAATAATCATATCCAGCGTTCCGGGCTGCTTCCAAATTGCTCCGCAGGTCAGTGCATAGTTTGGGTGAGATAATTGGATAGTAAGCACCGCTTTACCTGACGCGCGAAGGAACTTTACAGCCCGTACTGCAGGAAATGCTAGGCGGCAGTATTCCAGTCTCGCAGGGTCCCTGCAACCGTTTTTCTTTACCTAAAATGGTTAGTAAACTTTGGTTTAAGCCATTTCCAGAAGGAAGAGTAGGCCCCGAATTTGCCAATGGGATGGCAATGTCGTTTCGGCGGCAGATATGTCGGGGATAACCAGCATAGTTGGAAGCAGAGGGATGTTTATGCCAAGAAGCCACCAGTCACTGGGAGGGTGTGACCAAATTATTTTGACACAGGGTTTTTCACACCTCCTGTGAGAACACATCAGCGCAATATCCTGACGAGTCAAGCCGGGTAGGACGCGAGAACTAGACCAACTACATAGCCTTTAGGTCCTGAGAGGTTTGGAAAGTGATTTGTGAGGCCCACTAGTGGTTCAGCTCCACCTATCCCTTTCAGCCTCGACACACCCGTGCGACTTTTTACGCCCAGACGTGTTCCAACCTCATGGCCCTTCATCACTAGCATACATGGAATGCAACGTGACGCAATGCAACAAAATGAAATGGTGTGGTGTGGTGTAATGTGGTAGGGTCTAGTGTGACGTGGTATGATGCGGCAATACCAAGAATACAATGCTCTCATTGGATTGCATGAAGATTTGAAATAGTAAACAAAGAGGAGGCTGCTGACGTGAACTACCCCGCATCTTCCACTCCTATTTACCACATAACACCGCATTGCGCCCCATCAGACTGTATTATATCATATCATACCTTTTTATACCCTCTCTTGTGACGGCGGCTCTGTTTAAGAACATGTGACCATGTTTGTTTCATTTATTTTATTGTTGTTTTCTTTAAGTGAGCGCTTATAACATTTCTTGTTGTCAAGGTGCAGGCAGGCAGGGGTGGTAGAATAGTGGGTTCTGGCGGGCGAGCAGGGTTCGAATGATGATAACGACTAGGATTCTAACTGGATGCGGGGCTAGCTACTAGTCAAGCTATATACAGGTTGATAGACAAGACGTAGCTCGAGGCTACGAATGGGTGAAAAGGGCTAGGCCCTGTCTGTGACGGCAGCCTCATTCAAGATCATGTGACCACGTTTATTTCATTTATTTTATTGTTGTTTTCTTTAAGCGAGCGCCTATAATATTTCTTATTTTCTTTTTTTCCTCCTTACACTTAAAGTTCTAGAGTAGTTAGCACCAATACGACCTCATTTTGTTGCGTTGAACGGCCGTCTCAGGAAGAACAGCGAACCTGGTACGAGTCTCACGATGATACCACTTGTTACCGAGGTTCTCTACCAACCTGAATCCTTCTGAATGAGGAGATAGGGAAATCTCCACTTATCTCGACGCTGGAATGTTCCCAGCAGCATTATGCCTAATTTTCCCCATCGACTTATCGGCGATTTCAGACACTCTCGCCATTAACCGCGCCCCAGCAATGGAATTATCCAAAAGAAAACCCTACACAGGATGGCATATTCCTTTACATGCAACACAACTGACTGTCAGGAGGCCTATATAGAGAGAGATCTTCTGCCCTCCTACCGTCCTCTCCATCATCCAGCGTCATACAGATCGATCAAGATCACATTCTTTTGCACGCCCTACTTCATCAGTTCCTTTGCAAGACCCTCAGTATCTGGCACCTCATGCCTTGTGCTGGGTGCATACAATGTCATTGGCGTGAGTCCAACGCAAGCCAAGACCGGCTGTTCAAGCCGAGTCATAGCCGCGGTTTAAATATCCATGTCTTGTTTCATCGGCGGCTTGTGCCCCAAAACCACTCTCTAGGGAGCCTCTCGATTGCAATGTCTACCCTGGTCTGGTCTTATGTTTCCGATGTGAAGGCCCATGTATCATGGGATAGACTGATGTATCCTTCGGCATAGTGGATTTGGAGGAAGAGTTTGAGATCCGGGAGTTCAACTGCCCTTTCACCAACAGCGCACCAAGGCTTCATGTCACCGTCTGCTGTGAAAGTGGTTCATGACAAAGTTCGAGGGCTACGATCGTCCTTCTGTTCCTTCGTACCGGGGCTTCATCTTCTGTCCCAACAGGAGACATTCACTAAAAAGTATCAACCTCATTTCCAGATGCCATCACCAAAGGAACTCTAGAATGAGTAGAAGCGCCATACATGTGGGTACTTCCTTTGGTATCAAGCAACTTGCGATGGGTGCGCTTTTTATATATAACCACCTCCTTTCAACCGCGGGGAATTCTTCTACACTCCCTGCTTGTCTCGTGCATTTTCGCAATCCGGGTACGGATTCACAATGACTCTCACAGAGACCGCAGACCAGGATCTGTTTGAATTGGTGGCATCACAAATCAAGCTAGTCACCCTGAATCTTCACTTGAATTACTCACTATCATCACCACATGGTGGGATTATAAGGTCTTGCGTTGAGTTGATCGGATGATGAAATCGGCTATCGTTTTCATCGTCTTCGACAGCGGCCTTTCTGATCTAACCTGGTCTGGGTCACCTCATCTGAGTTTAAACAAATTATCAACGTCCCACATGTTGTGCCTGTCTCATGCGGATATTTAGACAGGCTCCATGCTTTTGAGATGAACTGTTGTCAAGACACCCTTCGCGGACACCACGGCTACGCCTACTCCAGGGAGTTGCATCAGCTTGATGATTCATTCTATGTTAGAATGAGCCACTTCTGAAAGTATATACAGCCTGTATATTCCTCGCGTCATCGGTGCTGTGGATGCTTCGATGGACCATATGACTACTTTGAAGGATTGTCGGTGCCACTGTCGTATAGCACATATTTTTATGCCATCATATCTGCTGCAGAAGCAGTGTGTTCAAGCGAAATGACAAACAAAACATGCATCGATGTTGTGGAGTGGGCTTTTAAGATGTGATATCGCACACATCTTGCTTGTTGCCCGTTTTCATTCCTATCAGATGTTTTCAAGCAATCTTAAATATGGAGATCACTGGCTGGATACATTCTCTTCTGGCTTAGTGGGCGTGCAGATGATCTCAGGGTGAACACAATGTGAATGAAGCCACGACGAAGCTCTCCGCTTGACATTCTGGTCTTCTCGGAGTCAGCAGTTCGTTGTTTCTACACAAGCTTCTATACACACGTCCAATCTGGAAGACTTGTCTTGCCGTGCTCGTTCTTTCTCATCGCCACGCATGTCCTGTCCCACGATTTCTACACGGATTCCACCTCCAGGCAGATTCTCAATGTGGATTTAGTACTCATTTCAACGTCCTCGAAGGTGGCTACAATTTACCTCAAGCGCCTAATGCAACGTGGTGAGCAAGTGATGTCTGTTCTCCTTGCCATAAATGATGGCAGCACACGATATGATCCATTAGAATGGTTTCTCCTGATAACTCAAACAACAGCCGATGAACCCTAACCTGCAGACGAGTGGCATTCCCAGACATATGCGAAACAGGACCTCCATATTTCTCTACCATCCCAGAACATATCGTCATGTCCAAAGTGTCCAGCAATGCTATGGACTTCCTTCCGATTCTCACCGGCGGTGGTGGTTTTCCACCCGTCACGACTGGCACGAACTATTACCATAGACGAACCCCGACGTCCACCTTCTGCTACAAGCACTTAGGAGACCCACCTCAGTTTTTCACAGGAAGCAATATGTGAACAGAACTTGCCCCGCACAAGAAAATAGTTTTACCAACAGTCGTGGATTACGAGTGTATTGGTGGGCCATGCTATAGTAGGAATGAACCCCTTATCACATACTTGCTGCATGCAAAAACCAACATCAAAGGTCCCTCTCAAGGTCCATCTACCTCGTGAACAGCATCCACATCTTCTATCCGATCTATCAAGTCTTTAAGTTCCCGACTGCCAATTGGATATCTCTCCTCAGGAACGACACGAAGGCGACCATATCAGATACTCAAAACATCGGAGCAAGGAAGAGCAACGCTACCACGATATATGCAAACATTCGACACAAAACAGCCAAAAGCTCATTATAATGTTGGAGGGCGACGGGATGAGCTGATATCACTTTGGTGGGTTCGCGAATCACTTGATCATCAGTACACATCATAACTCCATCCCACTGTTCCGGATTGATCCACCGGGGCATGTTCATGGCTTTCGCATTTACAATCAGGCTGTAGAGCATCGCTATTTTGCCTCACCATGGTCACCAAGTCATGCCGATGCTGTATTGTTCTTATTACTCTGGTCTTACACGCAGCTCGATGAACGTCACGTCTCGAACCATCTCCGCGACTATCGCTGGATACAGGTTCAGCCGTTCGGATAAAGGGCTCATAGCGATTCTACATGTCCTCCCCTGCACCGTCCCAAGTCCACTGAGTCCTATATTCCAGAAGATGCCACAAGTACTCCCTCAAAGCGTGGCCTTCATCTTGTAACTACAAGCAAGGTATGCAGACGGTGCTAGGTGAGCATCTTCATTCACTGAAGCTCATGTCTGGTCTTGTCCAACCCGATTCATGAACCATGTTGGGCGGATCCTCGATATGCTGTTATTGTTCATGCTTGGATGATAGTACTTGCCTTGGATTCATCCAACATATTGTCGTGCTGGGTCCACGCGCCAGGATGCTGTACCCGGATTGGCACTACAACCTCCCATGTCAGACTACGTTGCCTCTGTGAACGCAGAGAGCATTTGATCAGCGGTTTCGACATGTAAATAGAGGAAGGAGTATTGGAGCTGCATCGTATGGTAGGGCCGATACGATGTGCTTGATGGTAATTCGATGCCAGTCCGTTACACTCCTTGCATTTTGGATAATGTGTCTGGTTCGACTGTGTGCTTAGGCGTCTGGTCGAATTTGTTGCCACTGTGGGTGGAAGGGCGTTGCGGGAAGCTAAGATATGACCGAGTGGATGATGCCTATGTTTGAATTTGGGAATCATGGGTTAACTAGGTAAGTTACATGATATCTTTATTTGAGGGTGCTTGCACTGACAAGATATCTAGTCGTTCATGGGAACAGTATATAAATCGGGCCAGATGTGTTTAATACCCAACCCCTATCGACATATAACTCGGAACATCTTCCCTTCACCAGCATTATTCAACCCGATATATCGACAAACCCTGCAAAGAAGACCAATCGCTCGGACTTCCAATCCATGACAGGGTGCAAAAAGAAGACTTTGAACATCAAACCTCTCGCAATCCTCTTCGGTATTCGTCAAGCATGCTAATATCTCCACTACCGTCGATGCTGAACTGCTCTCAAAACCTCATACAGCATCATAGCATCACGCTATCAAAACAACCATGGATTCTACATTACGCTCGCCTTCGCCGACAACGCACGCTCCTGGGAGACTGACCTACCCACCTATCTCGCAGCGCACTTCCCGCCAACTCAGCTATATAACATGTTCCGCTGCAATGATCTGCCCATCCAGCTTGGAAAGGCCACTTTGGCGCCGCTGGCTATGACAAACTTATCCTTGACTATGGATGGGGGTCTCAGGTCCACACACCGGCAATGAACTCTATTCCGTTGCCTGATGTGACGCACAATGAGGGAGATGCACATCCCCACGTTATTCGGTACCCTTGTATTGGGCCGTCTCTTCGTCACCACACTTATTCTTCAAGTATGGCTTATAGATATTTACTCCCAGCACACACTCTCATTACTCGTGTTCGCTGTCCGGGGAGGAAATGTGAATTTAGAGCACATCATCGCCTGAGTTCATTGACACTCATATGGTCATTATCAGCGCAATCAAATGCGATTCCTGGTATCTACAAATCAGTTTGGAGAGCTGGCTTCTACGCGAACCTGCCTGCAACAGAGAGGAGGAAATGACGATATGCGCCTTCCGCTCGGAGATTTAGGTCACTCATGGCTCTCTACCCGAGGTGCTTGAGCAGGATACAACCAGACTATAGGGTCGTGATGAACCACATATCATGTGGTGTGTACTGAATCCATCTCAGGACGCTCGCTCATCCTGGTGTCTGATCCTATAGAACATATAGCCATTATTGCAACCACAATGGGCTGGAGTGGTCCATCACGTTGACACACGCGGCCAAAGACACCTCCTCCATCGATCTAACCGCAGGAGCCACCGTCCCCTTCTTTCTTTCATGTCCAGCAGCAGTCCGGGATTATATCGGTCTAAATCTCCGGCCTTTGTCAATACTTCCTTCTGATACCCACGCATCTTCCTGACCCTTCAGTTCACCACTTAAGATATCCACCCAAGGTCCGGAATGGTGCCAGTCGTCCGCCTTAATGCTCGCTCCCCTCTTTCCAGGGACCATACCATAAGTAACCTTCTGGCAGTGCCCTTCAGACCTCCAGTACAAGTGGGTGGATTACAACGATTTCGATGACTTGGCCGCGAGGCGGATGTGCGCTATATTCGAGATTCGCACATCTCTCCTCACATTCATCGCTGTTGGTGTGGCAGGGCCTGGAAATGGGAGAGACAGCCTGAACATGCACGGCACCATCCAGTTAATCTGTGATCACATATAGATATACTTGTTAATGAATTGTTATCGACTTCAATAATATAATTGTAACTATAATAGTCAGCAGTTAGCACAGTGAATCTTGATTAACCTGACTTGACCGACTCTATCATGTTAAACATCCCTGCTTTCTCTAAACCGGAGCTATGAAAATACTACTTTTCACGGTATATCAATAGTATACCAGCCCTAGATAATATCTCTTCCTATATTAAGAGGCAGGATACTTGTAAATGACAATACTACACAAAGTATTGGGTTAATCACCATTGACAAGGGCCGCAGATTCAGTGCCATTATGTAGTACGCTGATATAAATCCTCTAATAGCTCACAACTCCCTCTCACAACGTGAGGGGGTGTCTATTGAATGATGACTAAGCGCATTTCACTTCCTCAACCACCAACATTCCACTTTCATTAACGGACTGTCTTCGGCATGGTCAACTCGAAAGTGGCACCATGGACATGGCGTCCATCTTCGGTCACTCGATCTCTGTCTGTCTGGATTCATGCTGTGTCCTCCTCGACATTCAACTCCAGGAAGGTTTCAACGATGAATGACAATCGTCGACTCTTCGAATACACCTCTGGTCGATGGATGTGAGTTGCTCAACGATGCCCTCTTCCCAACTCTGATAGCTTATCCGGGTAGATACAACGAGAACCTCCGTCTTGCTGAGCGCCACAGAGAGTTCAATGTCGATGCATTGAAAAGCACCGCTGCTCAGTCGCTGGAAAGATGCGATACAGATATCAAGAGTCTGTCGAAGCTGGCGGAAGGAGGCTTCAATCGTGTCCTCCAGATCACCATGCTTGATAATACTCAGGTCCTTGTCCGATTGCCATATCCCTCAACTGAACCCAAGAAAATGGCAGTCGCTAGTGAGGTGGCAACCTTGGCCCTCCTTCGGGCTCATGGTCTTCCTGTGCCCCGTGTGTATGCATACTCCACAGATGCTAAAAATGCTGTTGGCTCCGAGTATATCATCATGGAGAAGTTACCAGGAAGACCACTTGGTGATCGGTGGTTCGCGTTATCTGATCGAGAACGTCTGAAGGTGCTTCTGCAGCTTGTACAGCTAGAAGCAAAGCTTCATGCTATTGAGCTGCCTGCGAGCGGAAGCATATACTATGCCAGCGACCTGCCATCGGACTCACCACGCATTGTCATCCCCGACTCAGATTTCTGCATCAGTCCTGATGCGGCTCTTAAATGGTGGTTTGCAGAGCGTGCGTCGCTCCGTATTGATCGCGGTCCTTGTAAGTCTTTCTTATGCCAGCTTGTCGCCCCTCTGACCATATACTAGGGGAGGACCCGATCGATGTTCTCCGAAATCCTGCGCTGAAAGAACTGGCCTGGCTGCGTGCATATGGCCGGCCGCGCTTCCCATTTGAGCGCGCATATCGTGAATCCATGGATTACCGATTGTCCGATCCCAGCGAGCATATTGCTTCGCTGGAATCCTACCTCAAGATTGCTCCTGCACTGCTCCCGTCAAATGAATTGTCACGGCCTGTTCTTCGCCACCCTGATCTTCAGCCGAACAACATTTTTGTCTCGGACGATCTCGACATTGTCGGTTTAATTGACTGGCAACACGCATCGGTGCTGCCACTCTTTCTCGCCAGCGGGATCCCGAAATTCTTTCAGAACTACGACGACCCGGAATCGCTTCACTTTCGCCCACCGCCGCGTCCAGATCTAGAAGGCATGGACGAGGAAGAAAAGGCCGACATTCTTCATGATTTTCAACGTCGCCATACCCACTTTTTCTACTTGGCCTTCACGCAGCGTTTCAATGAACCTCACTTTCGGGCCATGGAACATGCTACGAACATGCTTACACGCCGCATTTTTAACCATGCCAGCGAGCCCTGGGAGGGGAATAATATCCCGCTTCAGGCTGACCTTGTTCTACTTACTAAATCCTGGCACGAATATTCCACCGACCCGTGTCCGGTCTCATTCTCTACGACCAGGGCTGATTCCATCATGCACTTACAAGGCCTGCAGGAAGAGGTTGATCTCCAACTCAAACAGATTCGCAACGTTATTGGCATCGGTGTGGACGGTTGGACCCCTGCAGAAGATTATGAAGCTGCCTGTGCCCGTGCTCGTCAGATGAAAGTCGATGGCCTTGCATCACTTGACACAGACCATGAGCGCGAGATGACGAATCGACACTGGCCGTTTGATGATCACAACGAGGACGAGTAGCGCGACTGTCTTCGGTTGCTGGACTACAATCAGGTAGAGGCAGTTGATGTGAGATTTCGGCTGTCATGTATCCAAGAAATCTATATACACCATACGTGAGTGCATCAGTATTGAATATAGACCCTGGACTAACAGGAGATTTTGATAGCACTGTCCTCCCTTTGTAGTGCCATCAGGCGGGTTGACACTGGATGGGAACCTGCGCTCCCCGTCGAGCCGGCACTAACAATGTATACTCATCATGGCTCGCCAATACTGAACGGCGCTAACATTCGACAGTAGAATGCGGTAGAACGGTAATCTTCAGGGGCTTAAGACAAGGGCGCGACGTTTGCTAATTGAACCTGCCCTTGAACTGTCTGGTGGTCGGGTATGGAGTAACAATTAGTAGTCAGACAAGACCTGACTGCTGCATGGAATCCTCTGTGAATCCTGCCAAGGCTGGAACTAGACTAATGTTGTTCTAGAGAAATTATTGAATAATATAAAATTTTTCTCTCGTCTTCTATATCTAGTAAGTAGATATACTTTTCAATAATATACTGTACTGATATTGCATACATCTATATTTATATATATAATCTAAAATTTAAATAGGTTAGACGAGGCTTGCAGCGCAGACGGTGTAGCTAAGGCAGCATCCAATTGGCTTCGAGAACGGCTCTTGGGAATATAGATGTTGATTCATGGTTATATAAGGAGTAAAATAAACCCAAACGGCCCTTGCTTGAAACTCCGCCCCGACTGATATCTGTTACAAGAAAGCAAGCGTAAACGCCACCAAACATTGTCAAAATATATAAACACCTATGGAACCCTTAATAGAATTTCGTATTCGGTGGGAGTCCCTCCGCCTGGTCATCTCTCTGGATTCGTTAGTTAGCACACTAAATGATTCCAATATAGACAGCAACGGAACCCATACCAGAGCTTCCGCGAATCCTTTCACAAGCGCAATTTCGTGGTCGCAGCGGGCCAGCTGTTCAGGTCCAAAGTCGGTGAATGTCGTTGCAACATCAAAGTCAATCCAGACCAGCCTGTCGGGGTTTCCACGGACAAGGAGAAGGTTTTTGGGGTAGATGTCTTGATGGTGAACACCCGCCCTGTGTATCTCCTGCATGCCCTCAATTGCCTGGGGATAGAGCGCGTCCGAGTAGTTCACGCAGTTCAAACTCTCTGCATTTGGGAAATATTCTAGCAATATTGCTCTCGGCCTTAGCTTGTCTCGGGCGAAAGATTGTAAAGCAGGCTGGAATGCTGCGGGATCCATTCGATTGATGTAGCCGTAGAATTTTGGCACGAAACCGCGTGCACAGACACCAGAAGTAAGAAGCTTCTTGTAAGCATTTAACTCGCAGCGAAATCTGTTCAAATCACGACCATTTTCGGTATATCCAGGGTCGCCGTTGTCGTGGAAAAGCTTCAATGCATACTTTTGTCCATCCAGATCTACCTCGAATATGGTAGACGAATCAGAGCACGTAATCTGCCTGATAATATTAATATTGGAGGGGTCCATGTTCTTCCAAGGGAGCGCTTCGTAGGTGCATTGTTGTCCTGTGGATGTCATATTTCTATCAAGGGGAACAAAAAGTGGACAGGTCTTGGTTAGCTAATAATAGCGGGATTACGTAAGTTAAATGATTGTAATATAATTTGCTCGTTATGGATCGCGAGAGGCCCAACCGCTGGATCTTGCGAATCAGATCCACTACATTGCCGCCGGTGGGAATCTCAAAGTGGGACTGTTTCAGTGGCTGCATGTAAGCGCCCGCTGTGACTCTGAGTGAGAACACAGGTGCTTCAGGTCCTATCAATCATGGTCCTGATCCAACGTTCCAATGAGCGCTTACTATTGTGCAGCCACACCAATCAACCTACGTGCTAACCCCTCACCATTGCTTCCCCATCAGATAGAAGTGTAACATTGGAGATTTGTTTCTTATATATCTAGTTATTTTTCCTCCACGCCTTCTATTTTGTGTCTCTATTCCCATGCCTCCTGCCTATTTCGACGATCAGCTACCAATAGGTACCCACCACGTGGAGCCATTGCTTCTAAGTCCTATTCACCAGGTGTGATACAGCACCACTACAATATGAGCAACCAGTCTCTTCTGCAGTATCTCTCTGTTGCCCTCCCGGCTATTCCTATTCAAGGTGCTGCCCCATCGCGGAATACAACGAACCCCCGCTATGGTGCGGGAGACATCATCCAGGTCGTCGATTGGCCAGAGTTCAATTATGCAACAATTATTCAACGATACGGCGGCATTTTGAACTCAAAGCAGATCGTGTCCGATCCGTTCAGGTCCCCTCCTGCCGCTATCAGAGATGAACCCCATTTCCACCTTCGATTTGCCGATCACATTTGACAGCGGAGGCTCTGCAGCGTACGTCGACCAGTTTCGACCAGACACTGCATTCGTCGTCGTGGGGGGGACCTACGCCGAAAGCACGAACCGAGCCCCAGGAGACATAAAAATCTCATAGAAATGGCGTTTTAATTACCGGCATTCGCAGAACGCCTTCTTTCAAGAATAGTACAAGCAGGTCTTAACGCAGGTGAATTTCTATATAAACCAACACAAAGCGCGTTATAGATTTATGCTTACTAATACCGAGTTTATTGGGGTCAAACGTCTCGATATAAATGGTTGTTTAACTATCTCTTCGACGATCCCCTGGACAGCTGGAGGCCATGATCAACTTACTATACTAATGGGAATATAGTATCTAAGGATGCTTGCAGCCGAAGGAACCAACTGGACCCTGTAACCCAGCTGCCTGTTTCTCATCTATTGGACCATGGTCAATATCAATTTGGAGGTTTCACCTAACATCCCTTAGTGATCTTGGTGTTGTTCGCGAAACAAACGGTTATATATCCTAATTTTAATGCCATGTTCATGTCAGCTCTACGCACCCAATGAATACGTCACATTTTGGGGAAGCTGCAGCTGACAGAACAAAATGATCAGCGACGACATGAGTCTACGCCACAGCACCGCCTGTCACACTTGGGTTATAAAATTCCCCTCGAGGTGCCAGAGAGCTGTCCAGCAGTGCTCCGTTTCCTACCTTATACTCGAGATAACTCTAAGAGTTATGTAAACAGTGAGACCCTCACAAGAATAACATCTTTCATTTTTGGGACAAACTACGTCAAAGAACCCTCTATTCCTGGTCTGAAAGAAGAAATGATAAAGATGACTAGATTGTATGCTCTGTCCAGTAAATGGATGTGGCATCTATCTAAACACCCACGCCAATAAGCTGCATCGGCATTCCATAATGTCACTCCATTTCAATCACCAACTTCGTACAACTCACCCCCCGTTGTAGGACATCCAACCCAGCATTAATCGCCCCCAACCCCTTTCCCACAATTTTCGGCTCTGGGCTTGGACTGATAGCCCCACCAACCAAGTTCTCCCTCAACATCCTCATCCAATATTCAAACTGAGCCAACCTCTCCCCTTCATCCATCGACGGCATCAAAAAGATGACTTCCACTCCATCCACCTCTTCAGTATCCGGCGGAACCACTGGAGCGGACCCAATCGTTGCGTTCCGATCATCTCCCACAAAAGCTTTCAGGACAGCTTGACACGGCGCCAGCTGCCCCGTAGCAAGGAAACAGTGCCGGATTACCAGGCCATCATACTTAGCCGCCGAAATAATCGCATCCACAACCTGTGGCTCTTTGTAATCGAAGACGTGATCCGCGCCTAAAGAGCCTACGTACTCATGATTCGCCGCACCAGCCGTGGCATACACAGCAGCGATCGAAGAGCCGGGATCATCACGCAACAGCCGGGCAGTTTGCACGCCCATCGTTCCCACACTCGAAGAAGCACCCCAAATTAGTAGCGCTTCTCTCTTTCGCGGAGAAGAAATGGTGGCCCCTCCCACCCGTTGAATCCCCATCATATCCCACGCGCTCAGAGGCACCTGGCCAGCGACAGGCAGAGTTGCCGCTTGGTGCCAAGATACCCCCTCTGGAAGACACAACGCATGCTGCCAGGGGATGAGACACCGCTCCTGAAAGGCCCCGTAGTCCGGGTCACAGGATTTCCAGACGGCGGCGGCGTAGGCAGCAATACGGGTGCTTGGTTGGAAAGCGACGGGGACGTTGTTGCCGGCCTCAAGGACTAGCCCCGCGAAATCGAAGCCAATGACTGTGGGATAGGTCGGTATGAAGAGACCTTTGTCCCGCATGATGCCGTCCGCCGGGTTGAGGGCGATGGATTTGACGACGATGAGGAGCTCATCCGGACCGGGTTTCGGCGTGGCGCGGGTTTGGAGCTCAAAGGGGGTGCCTTTGGCCGAAGAGACGGCGGCGAGGTGGGTGGTCATTATTGATTGTTTGTGAAGTGAAGGCTTCAAGGTGTAGATTCAAATCCGTGTTGCAAATTGGATTGGGAGAAATGTCCCTCCTTATAACATTATTTTTGGGGCAGTGACGTTGGTATACTATTGTAGATTGCAGGCCACTCACAGCCAATCAGAGCCGTCCGTAGCCGAGATCGGGCTAGCGCGAAGATATTATCCGAAAGGGGTTAGCGTTGTATGCCTGGGGCGACGATGGTTTGCACGTGTCCTCCATTCCAATTCATCAACCAAATCCCTCATTTAAACTACCAGTATGCCTTCGACTGGCCCAAGAGATGGGCGGGAGGGTAAGGTTCGGCGGAGGTCGAGATTTGGCTGCCGCAATTGCAAGCTTCGCAAACTCAAGTGCGATGAAAGCAAACCCCAGTGCAAGAGATGTCGTTCCTTTGGATTATTATGCCCCTTTATGTCCAACATTCCCGACCTTCAGCCTGTTGCTGCTGACCGGCAGTTGGTAGTTCAGTCTCCTCCCAGCAATGCTGTTTGGACATCGGACGAATCGACATGCTATCACTTGGATGCCAGGTGCCAAGAGTTTATCAGCCGGTATCTGGGACGGAGTCTGATTCCTCCAGACAATCCTAACATGATACAAGTGAATCGCAAGCTGCTAGAACTGGCTTTCACCGTGAGCTTTCTTAATTTCCGCCATGGCTGCATCAGTTAACACAGTTTGTAGTATCCTTTTCTAATGCACGCCTCTCTAGCGGTGGCGCTTACATATGACCGCCATCTGAAAAGGTCCGGCTGTCGTCGCACTCTAGAAGAGTGCTATCACTGGTCTCAAGCCACCGTACTCTTGAACAATCGACTAAGTGGACCAATCCAGACAGAAGACAAGGATCCCATCTGGGGCACTGCGGCTGCGCTGGTCATCTTAACCTTCTCGTCCGATGCATACACAGCCGAACAAGCGTGGCCTTTGACATCATCTGACTCCGACCTGGACTGGTTGCGTCTGAGCAAGAGTAAAATGTTATTGTGGCACATTGTGAACCCCCTGCGACCGGACAGTCTGTTTCACGTCCTGGCAGCGACCTTTGCTGAGATGCAGTCCCCTTTGCCACAAAGAGGCATAGATGGTATGCCTCAGGCTTTGGCTGCCATGTGTAATTTGAACGACACATCTACAGCAGAAACGAATCCGTATTTCCGTGCTGCGCACGCGGTATCCCAGATCCTGAACCGCCCAAAAATCACCATCGGTCAGTCTCAAATCTTCATGGATAGTATCCATGGCCCTTTTGAAGATCTGCTTCGGGAAAAGGACCCGGCAGCGCTATTGTTGCTGTATTTATGGTATTGCAGAGCCAGTCGCAGTATATGGTTTATTGAACTTAGGGCTCGAGTGGAATGTCCTTCGATCTGCTCATATCTGCGACGATACCACTCAGAGAATGGTGCTGTCCAGGCATTTCTTCCGAAAGGAGATCTCGCTCAAGTTCCCTCTTAGAACTCTCGTCTGAAGCACCCAGTCTTGATTATTTGATCCTTTGATAAGTCCTATCAGAGATATATCTCTGTAATATCTGAATATCAGACATGTGATGTCGGCTCGTTGGGACATCTGCAGCTAGTGCTTAGCCTGATCACGAGATGTGGGGTCATCTTCACCGGTCAGCTCGGCGAATTCCAGACAACATAAAGTCCCTCTGATCCACGGGTGACTACAAGTAGGCCATGCGGCTGATCTCGCTGCCTTTCAGGTCCAAAACACCAGACCAGTCAGGGAGCCTGGATACACTGCGAAATGCTAACGACCGCGATCCAGCTCTGTGTGACAGGTGTCGCGCCATTGACTTTGCTGCCATTCTTCAGCTCAGTGATGAGGTTCGTGACGCGCGACTCGATGGAATATCGATTCTATCTCTAGGGAGTTTACCTACTCCCGGAGAGCTCCCATGCCCCATGTGCAATCTATTCAACCAGGTGAAATTTGATCTCGGGGTCGCTGCTCAAACAGCCTGGGATACCAGAGAATACCATCTTCGAGCGTTCAGCAGCCTCCTGAAAGAAGTGGGGATTACGGGAGAGACAGCGACAGGCGTCAAGGGACGCAAGCTCATCGACGAGATCCGGTGGGGCGATGCGTATATGGAAGATGAAAACAGCGTTCTCCTCGCGGTATTTCCCGGCCAGGGTGATGATGTACTCAATACTAGCGAGGCCAGAATGTACGACACCTGCAGCCACTTGGAGCAGAGTGTCATCATGCCAGTTGCGGTTCGTGGTGCCCGGACGCATGGCGATCTGGTGCTTCCGAATCAGATCAACTACGACCGACTGCGAGAGTGGATCAGAGAGTGCCAAAGTCATCACGGACCCAAATGCACCGATCACGCAACTCGTCCGCCCTTTGCCTTGAAAGTCATCGACTGCCAAACGAGGAAAATACTCCCCCTCAAGCCAGACTGGGACTATTACGCTCTGAGCTACGTCTGGGGGCCACCACGGCCAGAGGACATCATAGATGGCACTCAAGGGCGTCAAAAGACTCTACCAGCTCGGGTGCATCCCAGCATCGAAGATGCCATCACCGTTGTCAAGAACCTCGGAGGACGATATCTCTGGATTGACAAATACTGCATCAACCAGGATGATGCTCAAGAAAAGCACGATCAGATCTCGCGCATGGATCTAATCTATTCTGGCGCTTATGCCACCATCATCGCAGCCGGTTCCGACATTACTCAGTCCGGATTACCCGGTGTAGGCACCGTTCCACGCCTGCATCAACCGCAGGCTGTCTCGGGCAAAACCCGGCTGGTTTCCACGCTCCCATCCATCCGACAAGCTCTAACCCGCAGTCCATGGATCACTCGGGGCTGGACATTCCAAGAAGTCATCCTCTCTCGACGATGTCTCTTCTTCACCGACTACCAGGTCTACTTTATGTGCTCCGAGGCCACCCACTGCGAGTCAACCATCATATCCCAGCCCCTCAAACATACCAGTTATAACGTCCTCGACCCTGATCGCTTCACCCACCTCGGCGCCGGCGATGCAAAATACTACTCGTGGATGCCTCCCCGGCCGTGGGAATTCCGAACGCACCTCACACACTATTCCAGTCGGAACCTGTCCTACGAATCCGACGCCATCAACGCCTTTCGCGGGATTCTCGCCCGCTCCACCCACACCACCTACTGGGGGATTCCTTTTCTCTTCCAGGACTCTTCCTACCCTTTCGTCCAAGATATTAACCTCCGCTTCGCATGCGCTCTCGCCTGGGAACCCATGTACACACAGAATCCTATCGCCCGGGAATCCCACCTCCACCGACGCCCCGACTTTCCCAGCTGGTCCTGGGCCGGCTGGGCGGGCACAGTGTCATACAGCTACTTTCTATTCCGAGTCCGATTCACCTGCGATGAGAATGACCTCCTCCCACAACCACTACACGATCACGCCCCGTTACGCATCTGGATCCCCGAGACCAAACACAAACACAAACCCAAACACAACCCCATCCCACTCGAAGAGCTCTTCCACATCCACTCCGACAAAAAAGTCCTCCCTGAACTTTCCCCTCATCTCCTCATCGACTGTCTCGTCCTTCGGGTCCGAGTCGCCTTCGCCAGTCGATTCCCCGGCGACCCGCCTGCATTCTCTATCGCCGTGGAGGACGGATACTCTCGCGCCCCAATTTTATTTTGCTGGCCGATGCCGAGAGAGGGAGAGGAGGGACATGAAGAATTGCTGAAAGAGGAGTGGAATGGACTGATATTATTTGAAACGCGACATAATATTACTCGGTGTGCGCCGTGGGATCATATTGGGGTTTTTGTGTTGTTGGTTCGGTCGGTGGAGGGGACGAATGAGCGGGTGGGATCGGTGTGGTTGACCCGGAAGGAGTTGGAGGGGTTGCAGATGGAGAGGAGGAGGATGCTTGTTTCGTGATGTGGGTGGTACTAGTAGTTGGATTGGCTCAAGCATCACCCAGAATCCAATCAATCTGGATCTATACTTCTGATATAGAGTAAGTACCGGATGGTAAGCCCGTACAAAGGTCACAAAGGGAAGGAAGCAACACCTAGGGCATCAATGCTCTGCAAGCTTCCAACGGAAGGTGCGCGGTTTGAGGGAGTGAAATTGATTTCAACAGACCGGATAACCCAGTGGCCAACTGGCAATGCCCCCTCACACCCTCCAGACAGGGAAAGATCCATAACAATACTGTTTTCTCGCTTCCTACTCAATCTTCCGCTCTACTACACATAACCTCCACATCAAACCAGTCCAAGACGAACAATCTCCCCGGAACCACCCCTAAACCCATTGGCCCCATCCGCCACCACCCCATACATAGGATCCTCCCCACACAGAACCGAATCTCCCCCCCCCTCCTCAACATCTCTATACCACCAAACCAAAAACCTATTTCAAAGCCAGACTCAACAATCACCTCTACAAATGGAACCATTACACCATGCTTCAGGGACAGTGTCTCGATGATATATTGGTAGACATACGACCCATCCCCTCTCTTTTTTAAGATGACGCAGATGAAGTGATGTGATTGCTGTGCTGCGGATATAAGACCACGGAAATATATATCTGCGTTATGTTGTTGATGTGGTTAGTTGTTGCTGGGTTGTGGAAAGTCGAAGATGAGGTGGGGTTGAGGTATTGGAATATTGTGTCCAGAGTTACTAGTAGGGATGGTCTATCGTATCTTCTCCATCTAATTCATTATCTATTTCAGGGGAGATAAATTGGGTGCATGGGTTAGATGATGTGGAGACTGTGGAGATTGATTTGGGAGGATATATGATGACTGCCACTAAGTGGATGGAAGAGAAGATGCAGGAAGGAGGGTTGGCAATGCGAAGAGTGATAGCATGATTGTCCTCGAGGTTGGCAGGTCATCATCTGGCTGGGTCAATACGCTCACGTTCATATAAGCAGTGAGTTTCTGACTATAACTCTATAAAAACCACGCAAATTCTTCAGAGATTTCGGTGGCCTCTATATTGAATGCAATAAATTAGATACAACGATGATATCAGCAACAAATATCTCGCAAGTATAGATAGAGTAGTCAGATACTCCACGAGTACCAGATAGCTAAATGCTAAACTGAAAGTGTACATCCAGTGCATATCAACAACTGCTCCCATCCACCGCCTGACCATACAAATACTCCAACCCTATTGCAAATCAGTAACCAACTCCTCAACCACAGAGGCAACATACACTCCTGCACCTTCTGGCAAATAATCCCCCGCGCAGGCTTCCAAAACACATTCAACCTTTCACCCGGCTGAGGTTTCATAAAATCAACCTCCACCACTCGAAGGGTATCCTGGACAACGAAATGAGTGATATCGGTGACTGGTATAGTTTTATGCTGGTCTTCGGATGTTAGGGTGATTGTTGGGACCGGGACGGTGATGGCTTTGCTGTTCGGGAGGGTGGGATCCATTGTGGCTTCGATGTGATGGATTCCGGTGGTGGTAAAGTTGATGGATATTTGATCCGACTGATGAATTATGGTAATGGGTGAATTCCTAGCCTTCCAGACTATGATACCACATGATCTGGAACAACTCTAGTTGGATGGAGAGGGTGCGCCATGCAGCTTCTACGTTTCTTGACTGAGAGACAGTAGCCAAAATGATCAATTGTGATGAATTTGTATTGAACGTGCTGAATATTCTACGGAGACTCACCTACATCTAGTCCGAATCAAGAGTGTCAAACAAACAGGCATACATTTGATCCCTTGCTTGCCTCATGACAGCAACAACACCATCACTGTCATAGTGGACGAAATTCAGCAGAATATGTCTGGAATACTTTCATCCTACCTATGAACAGCGGATGCCCTATATTGTTGTTCCGTTCGCTGGTTGGTATGATGCATGAATGGGATGAGTCCATTAAACTACATCCTAAGTTGATGCTAATCGAGGTCCGAGGTCCTTAGTATGATCACAGATCCCACAATCGCAAGAATCCATCCCGGTCCAACACGACCAGGAGTCGCGAATCCCCCAAACCCACCATATCCGAGCAAAGACCAGTCTCAATGATCCTCCCCCGCGCCCTCCTCAACTGCAGCTTCAGATCGATCTCCAAATCATGCCCCACAACCGTGCCTTCTCGGGACTGAACGAGCAGCTTTCGACCCCCCTGGGCGAACCGCATCCGTTTCACATCCGGGTAAAGAGATCTCAAACAGGCAGGCATTCGGTCCACTCCCGTGAATGGGTCCCAGAGAGCAAGCCAGCTGGTCGGACCTTCGCCGGCCAGGAGCTTTCCGTTCGGACTCCAGATCAAAGAGTTGATCGACGTCTGCAGCTCCGTGCAGGTGGTGATGGGCTTTCCCGTCTCCATGTGGTAGACGTGCACGCAAAGCTCCGGTTTCTCCTGGCTGACCGCCAGGTATTTGCCATCCGGGGAAAAGGCACCGCACCAGAGCTTGCCGCCCACGGCGCCCAGGACATGGAGACAGGCTCCTGAGCTGGCGTCCCAGATCTGTGCCGTGCCGTCCACTACAATCGACGCCACCCGCGTGTTGTCGGGGCTCATCCCAGCCCACGTGATGGCGTCGGTATGACCGCGCAGTTGGTGGCGGAGGGATTGGCTCTCCAGATGATACAGATTGACGCAGGACGCCTCCTGGTCCAGATAGATCAGGGTTTGTCCGTCCGCACTGAAGGTCGGACTACCGAACGGGGCCAGTCGGCCATTGATGCTAAACTGATCTCGTTCGTGCAGGTGGACGGCATCGCGAAGAGCCAATTTCACATCATCGTGGATAATGGCCATGGCCTTTTCGGCCGGGTTCCAGCCGTGCTCGCCCGTCAACTCGGATTCCAGAAGCTGCAATGCTTTGGTGGTCAAGGCGTCGATATCCACCGGTTTCTCTCTCAATACCAATCTCCCCGTCGATCCCAGCTCCCACTGGAACAGCGTCTTCGAATCCCCGCTACCCGAGTCATCACTATCCTTACTTTCCTCGCTTTCCTCGGCCCCTTCCACCCCCTCCCCTTCCGAGACCAACACATAACCAACATCCTGACGATTCATCACCTTCGGAGCAAACCGCACCGCCCTCACCTCCTTGGTATGTCGTTTCAACACCTCAACCCGCTCCTGCGTCGCCACATCATAGAGGTAAATATTCTTGGCCGCCCCAACAGCAATAAACTTCTCATCTGGGCTGATGGCCAAGGTGCTTGCATTTCTCTCCACCTGGATCTTGGCCCTCTCTTGGCCCCATGATTTCGGATAGCCCCGTATCCAGCCTCCAATGTTCTCGGGCAGGTAGATCATGTTTCCTTGCTTCGTGCACATGGTTATGATCGCTGTTGGTGCGTTTGAGGGATAGGTTGGATGTTATGATGTAGGCGAGTCTGGAGATGGGATGAATGGAGTGATTGCAGTGATGAGCGAGGTTATGTAGGCCAGGTATGTGCGAGGGTGTCCAGGATGGTCCCTGCATATCGAACGGAGTTACCGGTCAGACAAGGTTATGAGGGGTGTATTTCCCGATTTCGTGGGAGTCTGGCGAGTGTCTGATGTCGCACGACAACGTCCAGGTCCATCGAGACCGTACTGCCAATGCCCTTCCTGTATGTAATAACTCCGATCATCTGTACTCTATAGCATGCCTCGCTGAATTACCTGCAGGCCTTAATGACCCTGCTAGTTGATCCAGGCCTGCTGGGGAAATACATCGAATACTATATCTCCACATCCGGCCAGCAATCCGCGACTGCCCCGTCCTCACGCACAGCAACCACAACCGACCCTTCTCCGCGCAACGGGTTCCCCTCCCACAAGACCAAATCCCCATTGTACACATCATTCTCATTACCAGCGCGATCCAGTCCCAGAATCTGCTCAATGTTGGACGACACCAGCGCAATGGCTTGCTTGTCCGTGAGTCCCGCTTGTTTGGCGGCCCACCGCGCCTCCCGCGCCAATCCATGGAGTTTGGAATCGCCTCGGATGGCCAAACCCAGTTGAACACCGGCTTCAAGCAATACCTTTGCGGGGCTGTCGCTGAGGGGTGGTCCGGGCAGCGCGTCCTTCTTCTCCCACTTATCTGGTGCCCCGCGGTTGCCGGTCAGGATGACTGGGATGTTTGCTTCGGCTAGAGGTTTGGCAACCTGAGACGCATGAGTTAGCGATACTGATGGGGAGGAGGGGGGGTTACTCACTAGGGCAGCGCTATGACCGCCATAAACGATCAGATTGGCAGCGGGAAAGTCGCGTTTCGCCAGAATCAACTGAGCGATATCGTCCTGGTTATACGTCTCAATCACCACGGGAAGGGAGCCATTTGCAGCCTGGGTATATATGCTGTGCTGCTCAGCTCCATCCTGGCTGCCGTGATGCAGTATTCCACGCAGGTATTCGATTCCTGAACCAACCGTCGGTGTATCTCCGTCTGGATGCCTTGTTAGACCGTATTCCTTCGTTTAAAAACTGAATACTCACTTTTGGCCCCTTGTCCAATCGATAGATGAAGCGCTACATTGTCCTTCCAGATCCCACCGTCCAAGATGGTTGCGTTGGGTCCGGTTCGTAATCCCACACTGACGCCCCGGATCAGCCCACTGCCATGCGGTGGAGTAATGGCCTTCGTGACGCCTCCGATCCGAGCTCGGTCAAACGCTTCGCCGTGGAGATGCACGCCATATTTGGCAAAGTGGACGCTCTTAGCTTCGTTCAGAAGGTTTCCGGTTGTGCCACTGGAGCCGTCACCGGTCGAGCTTTCGGACGGAATGGCCTGGATTCCGAGGTTGTTGCCAAAGGCGACGAGGCCAGGAGTGATGTAGCCATTCTTCAGCGCTATCTCTGTGATCCTCTCCTGCCCTTGAATGCATGCCCCTTTCGTACCAAAGCACGAGACTTGGTTGTTCTCCACCACGAAAACCAGCTCCTCGGATGCTTGTTCCAGACTCGGGCTGTCGAGAAGTGCGCTCCGAATACCGGTAAAGACAACGCGCGACTGTGAGCAGACATTATCCCGCTGCTCGAGATCAGCCGTCGGCCGCATATCGGGTGCATGCTCCAAGTCTTCTGGGCTAGAAGCAATCGACAGATCGATGTCTCCATGCTGCAATAGCGCACGTCCGTCAATAAAAACCTCGACAGGCGTGGCCCCGACTTGGAGCGGATGGCTGTCCCAGATGACGATATCGGCATCGTATCCCGGACGAACGTATCCGATGCGGTGGCCTTGCTGCATGGACTGGGCCGGAACCGAGGTAACTGACTGCAGGGCTTTGTCGGCAGGAAAGCCAAACGAGTGAGCGATAGAGGCTTGATCACTATTTCATGTCAGGAGCGTTGTCAGGCGTGTTCGGCGGCAAACTCACAGAAGATATTTTGCATAGTTGCCTTCTCCGGTATGATCCTAGTAATATTAGCCAGGCCCCAATTGCAGGGCTTCAATCCATACCGATTTGAAAGCCACTCGAACACCATGGTCATTGAGTATCTTTGCTGCTCGTAGATTTGCTTCATACGCCTCAGCCTTGAACAAAGCATTATCCGCGAATGTAGCAATTGTGATATTCCTGCGTCATAGTCAGCATCTGATCCACAGCCTGAGTGATGTACTCACGGCTCTAGTTGGTTGAGAAGCTCAGGAACCTGCCAAGCTTCCAGCGCATGGTGGAAAGCCTGAGGATGGACGTCAAACTCATGGAGCACAGCAAGCATGCGCTCAAGATCCTCCGGCGTATAACAGTGAACGTTCACATTCAGCTCCCCCCGAATCAGCGCCACGAAAGTTGCCAGCTCGAATGAATTTGGTCGTTGTCCCTGCTGTTCAAGGAAGCTCGCGATGCGCCGACCCTGGCCGAACGTGGTGTCCTCGATGTCATATGCCGCGCGACACCAGTCCGACTGGCGCTTTTGGAGTTCCTGTGCCTCGGCCAGCTTCTCTCGCAAGAGCCAGGCAAGGCCGAGTCGAGTGTGCAGGTACGTATGTTTCGGGTTCTCACCACAGGCCATTTTGAGATACCGCTGTCGATCTGGCTCAGGGATGCCGTGCTCCAGCAGCAGTTCCTCGATGACCGGTTCGCCGTCGGCACCGGGAAAAGGCAGGTTTTTGACGGGGTAGGCCTCGCCGCCGACGATGTTGGCGGAGCCGGGGAGAACCAGGGAGGAGGTGACACCCCCTGATGCGATGATTTTAATGGCTGGGTCGGACGGCGTGAACCCGTCGATGGCACGCACAAAGGGAGTGATGGGGCCAAGCAAGGGCCGCTCATTCACATCACTGGTGGCTGCTACTTGCGGAAATGGGAGCAACAGATGATGCGAGTGCATATCCACCAGACCCGGTGTGACATGCTTGCCATGCACGTCAATGACATTGGCGTTCTGGGGAATCACATCGCCCGAGCCAGTGGGAAGAATCGAGATGATCACACCAGCTTCGAAGACAATGTCCACCGAGTCGGCGAGAGTGGACTCGCCATCAAAGAGGGTCGCATTCCGGATAACCACCGGGGTAGTCTGTCCAGAGACCGGATTCCATCGTGGATTCTGCCGTGCGCTGTTCCCGGCCCCTCGTGGCAGCGGTTGGCGTTCCGCGTCATAACATTGTTGCAACCCGTCGTAAAATGCTTGCCGAGGGGATGCATCTGCAGGCAATAGGAGCTCTCTGGGATTTGTTCCGACTAGCAAAAGTGCTGCGGCACAGATTCCGGCACAGATTGGCCATTGCCATTGTCTTATCGCGCGGCTTCGTGGCCGTCGAGAGGAAGGCTGATGCATTGGGATGAACAAATTCCCCTTGGCAGTCATTTTCGATTCACGGCCATGCAGAGACTGGTACTTTGAAATGTGAACATCAGCGACTACCGCAGGGGGGAAAGAAGATAGTCGTTGGAGGGTTGCGTGACTGGAAGCCGGAACGACGTCAGCCACGTTGGCGTGGGTCGGGCTGGTGGTCCCTTATCAGCGACCCATCCGCTATCCACTATGCAGAACCCTATACATATCTTGTAGGGATTAGGGCTCGCGGCAATGGTTCGCCGACTGTGGGTCCAGACCCTGATTCATCTGTCCGGTCAGTCCGCTAGATAGATAGATATCAATTGCACCATCTGAAACTTTCTGGTGCGACAAGGTCCAGCCGGCTTCTCATTCGCGCAAGCCGGCGATGTGACTGTATCCCCATTGATTCCCTTCTCCGGTGCCGGAGTGCCAAGGGACTCTAGCAGTGCTTGCGCACATGAGGCCAGCAGTATCGCCGATGATACCATCGCAATCAAAATCTGAGCCTCTATAAGCCCCGCGGTGGTAACCACGATGCCCCTGAACCCTCGTGCTCAGGGATCGGATGGGAACCATGTCGGAGAAGATCGACCAGATTGAACCTGCGGTTGCAGTCGAGCCGGTGGTAATCCATCCTTCTCCCTTATGCTTGGTGCTTGCTGATGATGATGATGACTAGCAGGAGGATGGACTGGATGTCAAGCTTGAAGCGGAGAAGCTCGCTCAGTATGTACCGATCAAGATGACTCTGAGGGAATTCAGCTAACGACAGGGAAGACGCTTTTCCGCTACCGTTGATGAGGTGCTCACGGCACATGGGCAGACGGACTCGCTCACTCTGGACGAGGCCCGCGAAGTATGCCAGCCCCCATATCCACTTGGTTGCCATGATTCTCATAGAAATCTCAGCGGGCAAGGCACCTTCTAGATGCCCATGCCGAAGATCCCAACTTTCCTCCCACGGCCCTCGAACGCCTCGACACATTCCTGGCCATTGAAGAGCCGGAGAAGCATCGGAGAGCCGTCGAGGAAGCCAAGATTGAGATCTTGCTGCTTACAGAGAACAGTCCCTACCCCGAGGTTCGTGCGGTGGTCGACCCGTACGATGACCCGAATCTTCCCTGTGGCACCATCCGCGCCTGGGTCATCGGGCTGGCGTTTGTCATCCTGATCGCGTTTGTCAACCAACTCTTCAGTGTGCGCCAACCGTCCATCAGCATCCGTTCGACCGTCGTCCAATTCCTGGCCTTTCCGGTTGGCAAGGCGGCCGAGCGCTTCTTACCGGATGTTGGCTTCACCCTGTTTGGCACGCGCTACAGCCTGAATCCTGGTCCGTTCAACCGGAAGGAACATATGGTCATTTCCATCATGGCTAGCGCGGGAGGGACTCTTCCCAGCTCGCGATACATCAGTATGTTGCCAGTATCCATGCAGGTGAAGAGGCTGACCGTATCTAGTTTTCACGCAGTGGCTGGATCGGTATTTTGGTCAGCCCTACGCCAAACACTTCGGATATCAGATTCTGCTCGCTCTCTCCACTGACCTCATGGGCTTTGGATTGGCGGGACTACTCCGCCGCTTCATTGTCTATCCGTCGTTTTGTGTGTGGCCGAGGTCATTGGTGACTATTGCCCTGAACACTTCCTTGCACAATGGTGCGTGATGGCCATCGAGGATACTGTATGCTGCTAACCACCTCCAGAGGAGAACCACTCCGTGCCGGGTCCCTTTCGAACCATCTTCAACATTTCCCGGTTTCGATTCTTTCTGATCGCCTTTGCGCTCATGTTCGTCTACTTCTGGTTCCCCGACCTCATCTTCGGTGCTCTGAGTACCTTCAACTGGCTGGCGTGGATCGCTCCCAACAACTTCAATCTGGCCGCCATTACCGGCATCAAAAAGGGACTGGGATTCAACCCGCTGCCGACTTTCGACTGGAACATTGTCACCCATGCCCTGGATCCGCTGATCGTGCCCTTGCGCGTGACGATCAACACGTTCTTCGGCGTGCTGCTCGGTGGCATTACCATCATTGGCCTCTATTGGACCAATGCCTATCACACGGCCTACTTGCCTATTAACACCAACAGTATGTTCAATCATTATGGAAAGGCTTACAATGTGTCCAAGATCTTGGATAACCGTGGATGGCTCGACGAGACCAAATACCAAGCCTACTCCCCGGTGTACCTGGCCGCGAGCAGTCTGACCATGTACTTTTTCTTTTTCGCGGTGTATGCGGCCACAGTGTCGTATGCGTATCTGCACCATCGCCGCGACATTGCACTCGGGTTTCGCAGTCTGATCAAGAATTTTAAGCGCCGAGATCCCAGTGACTTTCCCGATGTTCACAGCAAGCTTATGACGGCCTACAACGAAGGTACGTCATGCCACCAAACCTGAGTCTTTCGCTTGCTGATCAGTCCAGTCCCGGAGTGGTGGTATGCAATTCTCAATGTGGTTGCGATTGTGCTGGGAGTGGCTGCCATTGCTGCCTGGCCTACCTATGTGAGTGTCTAACTCGATTTCCATTCATCATAGTGCTCACCTCGAGTTCTAGACCAGCGTTGGGGTCATCTTCTTTGGTATCGCGCTTGCCCTGGTGTTTGCCATCCCGACCGGCATCATCGAAGCCACCACCGGAATCTCGGTCGAGTTCAAGTACGTCCTGTTTCACTTTTCAAAAACATGGAAGCTGACAAGGTTTCAGCGTTCTTGCGGAGTTTATTGGAGGCGCCTGGAACCCCGGCAACGCATTAGCCATGAATTTTTTTCAAATGCTTTGGGTAAGCCTTCAAAATATTGCGAGCAGACCATCACTCACACGCCTAGTTACGTGGCGACGGCTCATGCTCTGGGATTCGCAAATGACCTGAAGCTGGCACACTATGTCAAGGTTCCCCCGCGCCAAACCTTCTGGGCACAGATCATTGCGGTGGTGGTCTCTGCCTTTGTGGCTACGGGGGTGATGAACTTTCAAATCACGAGGATTGATGGGATTTGTACCGCGTGCGTATACCCACCTTACCAGGAGACTGTACTAACCCTGTTGTGTACAGCGACCAGAAAAACCGCTTCACCTGCCCCGGCGTCAACACCTACTTCACCGCCGCTGTCCTCTTTGGCAGCGTGGGAGCCAAAAAGATCTTCGGTACCGGGGGACAATACACGGCGCTTCTCTCGGCCTTTCCCATTGGATTTGCCTTTCCCATTATTACTTACTTCCTACAGCGGCGACTCCCTCGCACCCACTGGTTGAGCAAATTCCATCCCGTCATGTTCCTCAACGGGGGGGTTCATTGGTCTCCAGTAAGTTTTATACCTGCTTGCCCCTCGTTTTCCACGTCCTCATATGATCAGTACAACATCGCCTACATGTGGCCCGCCGTCATTCCCGCCTACATCAGCATGGGCTACCTCCGCACCCGGTACCTGGCCTTCTGGTCCAAGTACAACTATGTGCTTTCGGCGGCGTTTTCCACCGCCATTGCCATCGCGGGCATCATCATTTTCTTTGCGGTGAACTATCATGGCTATGAGATTAACTGGTGGGGAAATAATGCGGATACGGGTTGCGAGGCGAAGTCTTGTACCCGATTAACTCTGCCGAAGGGGGAGTATTTTGGACCTAGGCTGGGGAGTTTTTCCTAGTTGGGTGCATACGCAGCAGAGTGAGTACCATCATAGGGTATCATTAGGAGCTGTTCGTACCAGAATGGCAGGGGGTGCTGTGGGATAAATTGAGACGTCGATAGATAACGGCCTAACAGCTACCAGCCTGGATTTATCATAATATGGAGTAATAACATCATTCATCTCGTTAATTCCACTAAGATATACTACTTTGAGTTTCTCAATAATGCATACGATGATTTCGTGATTACTCAAGTACACTATCCAAGAAGGGGATGGACTACATGATCTATTTGACTCTTTCTCCTTCTCGAGTCAGGAAAACGGAGTGGTTTTTGGTAGATACACCACCACCTTGGTAGAACCAGGATCCTGTCCCTTCAGATGGCCAGAATGGGTACCATTCAAAATATTACAATAGTTTTGCAAATAGAATCACTCTGGATTTGAATTACGTCCGTGAAACTGAGTCTCAAATGTGGACTACTTACTGAAACTAGTATCACATCGACTGTATATATATATATATATTTACTCCCCACTTACATCCAACCAGATCAACGACTCGAATGAATCCCCTTGCTTCAAACATTACTTTCTCTGCAAAATCCCCTATAATACAGCCCTCGATCACTACCAAAAAAGTCGTCAATCTATTTCTTACAACGATGCACTACTTGCCATCCTTGTCTTATGGACGGAAATATCCATGTCATGCTCTTCGGGATCTGCAAGCCCCACGTGGTGATCCCCACCATATATTTGCTTTTATGTATTCCGTCCGGAGTACGTACTATGTAGTAAAGGGCGTATGTGTACAGAAACTGGGAACGTATATACCAGTAGAAAGGATGATGGAATCTATTAAATCAGATGTTGTCATCACCCACCCCTATTGAGATGCACCAGTCGGTTATTTTATTCACTGAGTGTGATGCATCAGAGCAATTTCTCGGGGTTGAACTGTTATATGGGTATACTTTCTTTATACTATTTGCCAGAATGAGTGGTCTGATACTCCTGCATAGACCTTCATGTATATTACCTAGCAGGGTATTTCTCAGGCTTCGCCACTACGCCCGAGCCACAAAGGGATTATCGAAGCATGAGGTACATATAAGCTTAAAGTATAACACGACTCAGGAGTCACGAGCACTGCTCTTATTATACTTTCAATGGCTCCACTATAAGGTCAAACCACAGCTCCACTAGATTCAGTGTCAAGATCGATAGCATATAAGGCACATGTACACGGCATTCAATCATAACTAAACACTTTTCCAACGTCTAAGCCCACACATTACCCCAGAGAAGAGTGTATCCAACCATCAAACAGAATATAAACACACAGACCAGTGATCAAGACCCGCCTAACCACGTCTATAAGCACAACACAGCCAGCATCTACTCCTTCTTCTCCGCTTTAGGAGCAGTCTCCTTCGGAGCAGCCTCCTTCACCTCATGCGCATGGTTCCCATGATAGTCTGCCTCAGACAAACTCATCTTCTTCTTCTTCAACCGCTCCTCCTCAGCAGCCACCATATCCTTCCACAGATCCCCGGTCTCATGACCGCCCTCCTGCGCCCCCTCGACGACCTCCTCGACCTTCTTCACCCCCTCATCCTTCTTCTCCTTCGCCTTCTCCAGCAACCCAGCCCTCCTTACCCTCCGCTCCTGAATCTCAAACGCCGCACTGGCCACCAACACCGCCAACGTCAGCCCCTGCGCATACACACGCGCCTGCACAATCTTCTGACTCCCACTCAAATGCTTATTCCTCGATACCATGGCAAAACTCCCCACCATACTCGCCACCCACGTCGCACCCACAATCTTATACTTCTCGCGACGCGCCCACTGCAGCGCCCGGTCCGTGAAACTCAACTGCGAGAGCTCTTCCTGGCGGAGGCGCTCTTCCCGGTTCTCGTACCATTGGCGGGAGGCGTTGCGGGATGCTTCGAAATCCCGGGAGGCGTGGTCGGCCGCGATGATACCCACGAAGGTACCGGAGGAGGTCACGAGGAAGGATTTCATGGGCAGGGTGAGGTTGCGGATGGTGGGGAAGCGTTTTTGGGCCAGCAGGACGCCGGCCGCGCCGCCGAGGAGACCGAGAACACCGCCGATGGTGCCGCCTTTGAGGACGGAGCTGGAGGAAATGTTAGTATGAGCATTGGGTTGGGTGGCGGGATTGGGATGGGGCGGAAGTACCGGTAGTGGGCATCTTCTTCTTCTTTGGTGAGGATCTTCATGGTGATGTAATTGTTTGTAGATAGATGGATAGATGAAGTGGAGGATTGATTGGAACCAATGGATTGCGGAATGGATAGGTGATTGGGAGTAGATTGAGAGTGTGAGTGAAAGAGAAGAACAGAACGAGAAAAGCGAGAGGTGAAGCTAAATATGAGCAGAGGCCGGGTGACGTCGCGCAGGGTCAGAAAGAGCCACCGGGGTTTGCGGAGGAGGCTCGGCCCATCCGGCGTTTGCCCGGGATTGCGACTCCGAGCGGGCCGGAAGTGGCGCGTGAGATTTGCTGGACGCATTCTCGCGCGAGAACGCCCGATGCTTTATCTAGTGCTTCCTCATTCGCTATGGCATGATCCGTCCAATAATACTTAATACATTCCGCCTGCGCCGCCCGAGTTAACTACGAGATAAAGCCTGACATACATAAAAAGTGAGCACAACTGCAGAATGATGCTAACAGTCTACCGGCGTGACCCCTTCTGCGCCGCAATTTGTCGCGCCCGCATCCTTCGGAACCGATCCTCGCCGCTAGCTCCCAAAGGTCGCGCAAACTTGCTTTCCTGCACCATTGTCGGCCGCGGCACGACCGTATAGCTGGTGTGTGTCATATCGGCGCGCGCGCGGTTCGCCAGACGAGGAGGCAGCAATGCGCGAGCCCGAGCCTCTGCTGCCGTGGCCTGCACGGATTGGGTGCGGGTGGTGTTCAGTTTACTTTCAGATCAATTAGCACGAACCAAAGACCAACAAGAAAAGACAAGGGACAGTAGAAGACAAAATCTGGAGATACATACGTAGGATCAAAAGCAGCCTCCTGGTATACCCTCTTCGAGTAGTCGTCGCTGCGCTGGAGGATCGGGCGCGTCCATTCGGCCAACAGACGCTCCGCCATGCGCTTGATGCCTGGCTCAGGACGCTTGCTCCGCGTGTAGAACACAATCACCTTGCCAATGCCACTGGCAACCAAAGCCTCCTTGTTGATCGGCAGCTTGCCCAGCGCCGTCATCAGATCCCGCTGAATGTTGTACGCCGGCAGCGAGCCGTCATCCAAGGGCTCCAGGAAGAACTTGACAGCCTCGAGCAGGTTGATCTCGGGGTCGACCAAACTGTTGACGTATTGGTTGCGGTTGAGCAGGGAGACGACCTCGGGGAGCATCTTGAGCTTGTGCATGGCGGGCTTGCCCTCGCGACGGTTGATGGCATCCATCTGAGCGGCATGCGTCATGCGCTTGCGCATATCTTCGATTTCGGCATCGGCCATTTGTTCAAGATCCTGAACAGTTAGCATCACCTCCATATAAGCCCAAAATCATGAAACGTACAATACCATCCGCCTTCCTAAACCGTCTCTTCGTAGGCTTCTTCAACGCCTCATCCATCGCGCGATCCAGCGCTCTCCTCCGTCCTAATCAATTAGCCATGTCACTCCAACCCAAAAGAACAGGCAAACCCACTAGTAGCCGGATCCAACAACTCCTCCTCCTGCAGCGCCGCCTCCTTCTTCTTTCTCCTCCGACTCGCCTTCTCCTCATCACTCGCGCCCCCATCCTCCAACTCCCTCATGCGCCGACTCTTCTTCTCGCGCCTCCCCTCCCTCTTCCGCTTCGAGCGCTCCTCATCGCCCCCCTCCGTGCGCTTCCGCTTATGCCGTCCAATCAACTTCAAATTATCCTCATCAATAGCCAGCTGCGGCCGATCCTCGATGTCGACATTCTCGGGATCGAAATCCTCGAACTGAGCTTCGTCGACCTCGGACAGAATCGATTCGTCATCGGAGAGCTTCTCATCATCCTCTTCGACCTCTTCTTCAGCTTGCTCTGGCTCCTCCTGCTCCTGCTCCTCAGCCTCTGGTTGTTGTTCGTCTTCAGGCTGTGCATCGTGACTTTCTGGTTCCGTCTCCTTGGCGGGTTCGTCATCGATAGCGCCGCCGGGGGTCGGGGGCTGGTCGTCTATGACGGTGGCTTTGAGCTCGGGCTCAGGGCTGTGTGTGTCGGACATTTTGATTGTCGGGTGGTTGTTGATGATGGAGATGTTGAGGGTCGGTTCTCCTTTTACCCTGCTGGGTGAGTGGTGGTTGGTTGGTTGGTCTGGGACCAGATTCGTCCTTCCTCTCGGAACGGAACCTCCCTCGGATTCGTAGGTATCTTCCTCTCACGCAACTCTTCCGTATGAAGATAAGTAATCAGGTAGAAAGGTAAGTAAGTAGGCAAGCTAGATGAAACAAGATGAAGCGCTAGAAGTAGAGAAGTAAAGTCAACAAGTAACACCGCAACCAAGCAAAGACCCGAGAAACCAAGCAAGCGCAGATTCCGCCTCCGCGTGGTCCGTGCGCGGCAGAATCGAACTGTCCGGTCCGAATCATTCATTCATTCCTCTCTACTTCTTACCTTTGATTCATTTGATTCATCCTTCATCTTCTCATTCCCATTTCACATAATTAATACAGCAGACAAGATGTTCGCTCCAGGTATGTCGCCTCTCGCTCTCGTGTCTTACTTGGGTTTAATGAAGATGATGCTAACGAAGAATAGGCCAGGAACAGCTCTCCAAGGAGGAGATCAAAGTATTATTCCCTCGTTCTCTTAACAATTAGGCATGCTGATATTGGATAGGCCGGTGAGGTCCAGGCAAGCCAGACCATCCGGATGGCCATCTCCGGTGGTGTCCTGCTCTACCTCTGTATGTTCTGTTTACCTACTTACTGGATCATGCTAACAAAGTAGCTCCCTTCGCTATCGATTTCGTCAGGAAGTTCCTGTAATCGCTCGGTTCTCGCGACATGGAATAGGCTTATGTATTATATTGTACATCTCGAATGACCAGCTGTCACTTGCTCTATTAACCACGTCGAAATGTGTGGATACCAGCTCCTATAAACTCCTTGCTCCAAACAGCCAAACCAGACCCTCATATGAACTCAATAACCATGCATCAATGATTCATACCCGGCAGCTTCTGCGCCTCCTCAAAGTCCTTCTTTACCGCATCCAGTTCCTTCTGCAGGTGCTGGATCTGCGTGTGGTAGTCGTCCAAGATCTAGATGGCATTAGCTTGTTAACATGTAACCACCGAAGGCCCGTAACTTACCTTCTTGGCCGTCTTCATCGTCTGTTCGTCCAGCTCATCATCCGCCTGTGCCGCCGCGCTCGGGCCTGCCCGCTCCATCTCCTGCTGTAGACGCCGCGAGTGCTCCCGGATGGCCAGCATGCGCGCCCACACCTCCTCGCCCCGACCGTTCAGAGACGGGTCGAAGACGGACCGCTCCAGTTGGCTGAGCTTCTTCTTCAGCTCTTCTTCGGCGTCATCCATCGCGTAACCCCGATTCCGCAGCACCTGAGTCTTGGCCGCAAGCGCCAGGCACCGCTTGCTAAGCACAAGATGTTTCCGACGGCAGTCCGCAATCTTGACCGAGATCTTCAGGTCATGTCGAGAGAGTAGATCCGACAGGCAGTTGTTGATTTCGTGCAGACGCGTCTGCATCATGGTGAGAAAGTCCTTCTGGCGCTGCGCGCGCTTGCCCAGCTCAAAGAAGCCTTTGACGAGCACGGGCACGTATCCCGTATCAGGCCGCTTCCGCAGCGCATCCTCCCATTTCGTGTCGTCATCCTCCGGACCGGGCTGGTAGAACGGCGCCATCTCATCTCCAACGTTGTTATACAAGTACGCGCGGAAAGGCGAGGAGCGGCTGGAGGCATCCCACTTGTCCTTGACGATCTGGATCTGCATCGGCACAGTGCGATGGACTGACAATTAGCAACGCCCTGACACTAATCAATCAACGACGTACCTCCTGTAACCGCGCGACCCGGCTCCCACAAACTCGACCCCTGCGCCGTCGACTGGCCCATTTGAGTCTGTCCCATCTGAGTCTGGCCCAATTGAGGCTGCTGCTGCTGACCTCCTAGCAGAGACCCTGCAAACAGACTCGGCTGTTGCTGTTGCTGTTGCTGAGGCTGCTGCGTCTGACCCAATCCACCAAACAGACCACCACCCTGCTGCTGCGTCTGCTGTTGTTGCTGCTGCGGTTGTCCGAGCATGCCAGCGAGAGGTTTCTGGCCAAACAAGCTCCCTCCAGTCTGTTGTTGTTGTTGCTGCTGGGGCTGCTGCGTCCCCAAGTTTCCGAAAAGACCACCGGTAGCTGGCTTCTGCTGAATCGCGCCGCCGAACAACCCACCAGAAGGCTGCTGAGTCTGCGTATTTGTAGCGCCGCCGAACAATCCTCCAGATGGCTGCTGCGTCTGCGTGGTCGTAGCACCACCGAACAATCCACCCGACGGCTGAGCCTGTGTGGTCGCAGCACCGCCGAAAAGTCCACCCGCCGGTTGCTGTGTCTGCGTCGCGCCACCAAACAGTCCGCCTGTGGTACTTTGCGTCGTGTTTGTCGTGGCTGTATTTCCGAAGAGACCACCTCCGGTAGCACCGCCAAAGGGACTGGGCTTGTTTGCGGCGGCAGGCTGACCGAACAGTCCGCCTGTGGCGGGGGCCTGTGTTTGTGCTTGACCGAAGATCGACATGGTGCTATTTGTGCTGGATGACACTGCAATTGTGCTGCAATGATGAGAAGGTAAAAAGGCGAGCTTGAGAAGAGCGTAACACTACAACCAAGTGTCGCTCGGAGGGCGCAGGTAACACCAAGGGAGGTACCTCGCGGCAATTCCCTAATCAATCCACAGGTAAGAATACTAAACACAGGAACCTGACAAAACCACCCAGAGAAAGAAGGAGGCGGGGGGGAACCGACAGACGACGCAAAGCAAGCGCAGTGCGGCATCAACACCGTGCTGGTGCCATGGAGCTTTGTTTTTCAAGTCACGTGAACTATCTGCCAAAATGTGCCTAAGGCTGACCTTCCGACCTTCTGCCTGACAAATCCGGCACCCGCAGCACATTACCTAACCCAGCAGAGAACCAATCAGCACCAAGCAAAAACCACCCTTCCAAACTCGCAGCTTCAACATTCCACTCGGCTCCGGCGCCCTCATCACCACCCATCATTCAGCTCCAATTCCTCCTCCTCCTCCTCCACCAATCTCACCCATTGAGTCCGCGTACCACCCGTCACCATGGCGCAAAGAGAGCCCCAGTACGTCCATCTATCCCTTCACCCAAGTCCTTCCGAATCTCCAGCACCCCGAGATACCTACATATACATGATACCACCTACAACGAACCACCTTCTAACTAAGCCATATGTAGGTTCAACCAGCAATCGCTGATCGACACGACGCCGATGCCCGATCACATCCCCAAGGTGGAGGAGATCGGAGCCACATCGGCGCCATTGTACAGCGCGGCGTACTTTATCGGTGATCGGTGCAAGGCGTACAATGATGATTTCATGAAGTGCAAGCAGGAGTCGAATGGACGGGGTGAGGTGGAGTGTCTGAAGGAGGGGAGAAAGGTGACGAGGTGTGCCGCGAGTGTGTACGTTTATCCCCCTCTCCCTCCGATCTCTTCTGGTTATGTCTGGTGGAGTAATTGGGGTATACATGTGCATGTTCAATTGGGTGGATGAGGATGTCTACTCAATTGCAACTGAATACGCACGCATACCCAATTGCCTAAGGAAAGGTTGCTAATAAGAACGGAAATGAACAGGATCAAAGACATCAACACCCACTGCCTCAAGCAATTCACCGCTCACTGGGAATGTCTGGAGAACAACAACCACCAGCTGTGGGAGTGCCGTGGACCGGAGATGAAGTTGAACAACTGTGTGTTTGAGAAGTTGGTCGGTGTCCCCTCCCCCCCCCCCCTTACCCCTAACATCCATCCCCGGTTCCAAGACAAGTACTGATAAGAATATACAGGGCCTGAAGAAAGAAATCCCCGGAACTCCCGAAAACGTCGTCCCCGTGCACTTGCGTCCTAAGCAGATGTACTCTAATCATATTGGAAAGCAATGGTAATCTTTCTCTCTTTTTCTCTCCTTCCTCTTTCTTCTTCTCTCTGGTGGAGAAGCGTGAGGGGAGGGCGGGGAATTTCTTATGGTCGTGTGTTGTATTTTGGTGTTTTTCCTTGATCAATCGATGAATGTGTGTTTGTTTGTGTATATATTAGCATCGGTAGGTAGGAATTTCATGTTCCGGTAGGATTTATTCTTCTTTGGTTATGGGTTGGTAGTTGGGTGGGTGGTGATTGGATGTAGGCTTGGATTGATGTATAATGAATGTATCGGATGCAGAGCAGCCAGTCATGCTATGCAAGACCCAGATCTAAGTACCTAGAATACAGATACAGTACAACCTCAACACCAGACAACATGCAACGGACCGATCAGGAGAAAAGAAGGAACCACACCAAGGCAACTGAAGCAAGCGAAACCTCTAGGCTCGGCAAAAAGAATATATATGTACGAGAAACGAGAAACCAATCAACGTCATGTAGACACCCTCCGCAACACCCTCCACCGCGCCAATCGTCTCTTCACCTCTGCCCATCCTATCTTCAACTTCTCCTCCAGTCGACGATCCCCCCGTAACCTCATCCATACCAACAACACGCCCAGCAGAGTCAAGTCCACCATGATCTGCCGCGCCGTCACCCAGACCAACCATTTGAGCCAGGCCCAGACACTCGACCGGCGTCGATGAGCCAGCGCCCGCGCTTCCATTTGCTCGCGCACGGCGGCGATCTCGGCCGTCATATTCGTCAAGGCCTGCTCGACGCGACGCCGCCATCGTCTCTCATCCGGCGGTCGTTTATCCCCGGTCTGCTCGTGGCTGTGATGGCTGTGGTGACGATCACTCCCTTCCCGGTCCGGGAGATTATACGATTGATGCTGATATTCATGTGTTTCGTCACGGTCGTGGTCGTCATGCTCATGATCCTCCTCCTCATTCTCAAACAAATTATCCTGTGCTTCGGCATACACCTCCTCTTCCTCTTCCTCCTCGCCCCCATCATGCTGCTCCTCCATCTGTCGCCGAAAGCCCCCCTCAGGCTGACTCACCGGACTAAGAACGCGTAACCGCGAGTCCCCTCTCGCCGACGCCAGCATCTGCTCATACTCCGGACGCGTCAAGCTCGATTGCACCCGGGGATCCGACCCTCCATGACTGCTCAATTCCTGCGACGACAACGAAGACGGACTCGACTTGATCTGATCCCACACGAACTCCAACTCGGCAACGAGTTCCCGTGCCTCAGCCGTCTGTGAAGCGTAGTTATGCATCGTCTCGATCAGAGTAGAAATGTAGCGCCGTTTCGCCTCGGTACGGGATAGATCACGTTGAGCATACCATGCGTCCCTGCATTCATCAGTCATCCCTCCATCATCACCCCAATCCCAACAGAGAGAGGGGAGTAACTCACCACTTCTCACACTCCATATACACATCCGCCGTATTACCGACCGGTCGATCCATAACCCCCTCGACATCGCCCTCTACCCAAACACACATCAGCATACCCATAACCAAATCCCCAAGCAGAAGAGAGGAATATACCCATGCTCTGTTTATACAAGCCATACAGCTTTAATCGCTCCGAAGCCGGCGGTCTGGCGGTCCCGGTGCGGGGAATGCGTTTCACCGTGTTGAGGGCATGGACGAAGACTCGATCTGGATGAATTAGCACTCCATCTATATATCGTCTCCTAGCATAGCACACATCAAGGATTAATGAAAAAGGAGAGGAAGGTATACGCACCCACAGAGTCCGACATGGTTCGATAATCCACAACCAAGCAAGCGGCTTCATGAGAGCAAGAGTGGGTGGGAATCCGTCATCGAGGAACGATCGCAATACGGGACGTATATCCAGTCTCTGAGTGTCTGGAGAGCTGTTCCGATCGGAGGATGGAGGTGTGACGGTGGAATGGGGTAGGCGCAGAGGAGAGAGCGTCGGAGGTGTTGGAGCTTCCCCGGATTTCGGCCGCTGGTCGGCACGGGAACAGGGTTCGGGAGGTGGATTGGACTGGGTTGGAACGGGTATATAGATATATTGTTGTGCAGAGATAGCGATAGGTCGCGTGGGTTTGTTTGGGCGAGAGAACGTGACTGGTGGCGGTTGTGTTGTGGTGTGGTGGAAGAGGAGTGATTGATTGATTGAAGCTGAGCGATTGAACCGCGGTTGTCGGACTCGACATCAGCTCACCTGTGATCGGCCCGCAGGCACTGCCCGCATACTAGTTACGGAGTACTCCGTACTGTCTACAACATACTATGACCCTGCACCCCAGGTGGAATGGTGAAGATATATTCGCTAACTAAGTATATACACTAATGATAAGTATTAATCAATTCTTTCCCTTCTCATGCTCTGCGTATGTATTCTCCGCATCCACCGGCTTCCCCGTCATCACCCCCGGCAGATCTTCATCCGCCAGGGGCGGCCCTGTGAAATGCTTCCGCGCATAGCCCACATACCACGCAATGCTGATGGCCGCAAAGCCTGCGAATACCACACTCGCGTAGTTCATGCTGCTGGCATCCACTGGCAGTGAGGTCGGCATGCAGAACAGAACCACCGCCAGCACAATCCAGCATATGGACACAATGTTGATCGCGTATCCGAATCGTCCCAGCGAGAAGCTGGAGCCCTTAACGGCTTCACGCCCGCGAAGCATCAAAATAAGAATGGGGAGACCATACGACGTCGACAGGCAGATCGTGGCCACGCCTGTGAACGAGTTGAAGGCCGCCGATGACCCAAAGTAGATCAGCCCCAGTAGGCAGTCGACCACGGTGGAGAGAATGATCGCCCACACCGGCACATCCAGCTTCTTATTCACCTTGCGCCAGAGCCGGAACCCAGGAATGGCCCCGTCCCGAGCAAAGGCATACGTGCATCGACTCGCAGCCGTTAGCGCGCCGATGCCCGCAAACATCAGAATTCCTAAGATAAGGAACAAGAGTCCAAACCCTCCACCAGCAGACCCGGTGGCTGTCTTGAAGATGAGTCCAATGGGCTGGCCGCTGGCTACGTTGAGCAGGGTCTGCACTGACGGCAAGACGAACATGATCGGGATTAGATAGACCAGACCAGTAATACCAGCAGCCACCACAGACAGCACAATGGCCTTGGGCACCTCGCGATGCGGGTTCTGCACTTCCTCGCACATGGATGCTACCATACCATATCCTGTCAATGTGTATGCAGCCTGCAACAACCCGACAAAGAACGCCCATCCGGAGGGCCTAAAATCCGTCAGCACGGGCCCAGCCACTAGTCACCAGGAAAAGCTCAAACCTACCAGCCACTCTGCGAAGCATCATAATGAGCAAACACAAACTCAGCATCCCGTCGCTGATCCGACATGGTCAACAGCGTGACAAGGATGATAATCACACTGGCAGCCGTCCAATAAATGCACACTTTGTTGATCAAGTCGAGCCACTTAGAGCAGAATATATTGACCAACGCGCAGACCAGAATGACGGCCCAGAACATGAGAATAGTCTGCCATGCATTGGCGACAAAGTCCTCGTTCCACAGCGAAATGGCACTCAGGATCAGCTGACCCCCCGAGAAGGTGATACTCAGTGTGACCGTCCAGTTCCCAACCAGTGTCAGCCAGCCATCAATGAAGGACATCATGGGGGCCCATCTCCGCGTCGACAGCATCGCACTCCAGTAGTAGACTCCTCCAGCGGTGGGATAGACGGCGCAGATCTCGGCCAGAGAGGCGGCAATGGCGATGGAAATCAGGGTGACGACGACCCAACCCCAGATGACACTGACGGACTGACCATCAGTGAGGGTGATGTAAAGGGTTGTACTGAGACCAAAGGGGGCAGCCATAATAGCGAACGAGCTGCAAAATACCCTCGATTAGCCCACACTACACCAAAAACACTCGCAAATAGACAGCAAACCAACATACAGTCCCAAAATACTCATCATGCTCAAATTGCGCGGCAGTTCACTCTTGTAGCCCATCCTCGCCAACGCCTCATCGGCGCCGGCATCCACAGATTGTTGTCGCATGATGCCAGTCTAACGACAGTTCTTAATAGTAACGAAAGATCTAAACGATCAAAAGAAGACTCCTCGAAATTGTCGAGGACATGCCGGGAAAGTTCAAGCCAAGCAGTCCGGGGCGGGGGAGGGGATAAGAAGGAGAAGGAGGAAGAGGAAGAAAGGGTGACGCCGGCACCGATTGCAGGCAATTGATCCCCGCACGTCACCCATCTTCAACGGATCTCTCAAGTCTCAAGGCCTCAACCTTCGCCCCGGTCCACACTACATTCCCCGACCAGGGCCTACCCAAAGCCCCATCCAGCAGCCTCGTCATTGCCAATGAGCAGCGTCTCCCCGCGATAAGCTCCAGAACTAAGTTGCTCCGGTGTCGGGCTAGTGGTGGCGGTCCGGGACCGCGCTGATAAGCCCCCGGCTGCTATCTCGCCCATGACCAGCTGCATGAGTGATCCTATCTCCTGCGCTTATCGATTGAAGATACTCGCCCGGGGGCGGTTCGCGATACTGACCAGATCCATCTTCATACAACGTCCTATATAGTAAGTTGCATATGACATCGTCGGACAATTGAGACGATGCAGGCGGCTGGTTATCCTTGCATGCAGCCCTGTCTGCCGGGCACATGGCTCACAGCCCGTCTTCGCGGTGGCTCGTGACACCAGGTGACACGGAATTTCCCCGGAATGACTGGGTCGTGCGTCCGCGCAGTGGGGAGCTTCTCCATCTGCCCTCTTGGAAGTTGGAACCCGAACCATGGCGCCCCTCAGTCCGGCTCGCGGGGGATTAGGCCTCGAGACGGCTGTCTATTTCGACTACCTTCCCCGGATCTACATTATTACACGCTACTTCGGACACAGGCCTTCTTCCTCGGGGTCATATATTTCTAGTTCTTCGGTCATTCACAGCTATCCATTCCAACGTACATTGCGAGGGTCACTATGCAGTGACGGCTGCCACATCCTTTGACCGCTGATGCCCGCCAGGGGCAGCTGACCGGGCATAGGCAAGGATGAGCGCCACGGGAGTAAAAGATAAAAAAGGGGGGGGGGAAGAGACAGGAAGAGAGCACAGGGGAGGGGGGATAACAGGCACAACAGGTCGACCGAGAGGGAAGCATCCGAACCAAAGGAAACATAGGGGGCATGCGGGGGTATCAAGCAGGGGTCACTATAACAGAGACAGTCCATCGCCTTCGTGGGAAGATCGAGAGGGTGGGAATTTCTTTCGTCTTTTGTCTTTTTTTGGTTTGCATCTAGTGTACTCTCGGACCAGAAGTAAAGGGGCGAAAGTAGGCCCCAATAACTCTCCGATAGATATCCAGGAGAGGGTCCGAGTAAGGGTAAGGGTAAGGGTAAGGATGAGGGTATGAGAACAAGGGGAGTATCGAAACAGGACAATGCGAGGGAAGAGGGCAACAGAGGGGCGCGGAAGAGGAATCTCGACAGGGGACAATACGGAGGAAACGGCGGTGGGGGGGCAGCCCGGGCATCAAACCGCCTGGCGTTGGGTATAGCGGATGGCCACCTGGCCGGCTCGCCCACCGCCACTTGGGGCAGCCGGTCGCTCTCCTTGAATCCGTGGACTGGACTCCTCGCCTTCACTACCACCACCACATCAACAACAACAACAACACCACCACCACCACCACCATCGTCGCAGAAAATGAACAAGATCATGCACTGCCTCCAGTAGACAGGCCTCAAGCTGAGTCGCAACCAGCCAGCTAGCTTCAACTCCGTCGTCAATGAGTATCGCCCAAGCGATCGCGAAAAGAACCATCAAAAGCACAAAAACAAGATCTTTAAACGCCCAGTCATGCAGTCGTCAATCCAGATAAGTCGTTACATGAGAATGCAGTGATAATGACATGCGAATACATGGAATCACGCACAGCCCGGATCACGGGCTCAGCACGGCACAGATGTCGTCCGTTCCGTCCATCCCAAACCCGGCCATGTCGACCGAGTGCAGGGAACCCGGACCGCCACGTCCCAGGGAGATGTCCGAGGAAGCATAGTCGTGCTTCAATCGTTCATGTGGCCCAAAGAACGGCCGAGTCTCCTCGTTGGGCGTGTTCCCATCCCCAGCGGCCCAAGGCCCATGCTGCCAAAACCTCGTGTTGGCTTGTTGGTCGCCAAAGAGGTCATGGTGGTCGTGGTGAGGTTCAGGCCCGTGGTTGGCAAAGTCATTGGGGGACTGGAACCGCAAATGCGACCGGCTGAAACTCGAGCATGGAGAGTCGGCATGCAGCGGAAAGTCCAGGTTGGTGAAGTGCATGTCCTCGACCGTGGTGATGTCGATGGTCGGGTTCTCTGTCTGCTGAGCCAGTGCTGACGCCAGTCGGAGGTTGGAGGCGGAGCTTTGCCGGCTGTGGCTGGTCGACCGTTCGATGGCCCGTTGCACAAAACTGCCACATGTCTTCAGAATCTTTTCCTGGTCCTCCGGCGAGAGGCTGGCAAAGAAGTCATTCGCGAGCGAGGGCTTGGGCAGCTCAGGCTCACACGGAGTCAGGCCCAGGGTCTTCTGGGCATACTCCGTGAACCCGGAGGGCATGTCATACGGGGACTGGTAGACGGTCGGAGCCTGTTCCCGCTGCTGCTCAAGATAGGCGTACTTGCGAGGCAACTTCGTGGCGGCAAGGCTGGTCCCATTGGTCGGCTCTTGCTTGATGGTTTCCGACTCCTTCTTGTGCAGCACGTCCAGTTGATCCCGATGACTCACCAGCGAGAACCGGAGCATCTGCAACAGCCGCGACACCTCCTCGGACCGCATGTTGAGGGGCTGCAGGGGTAGCAGCGTCCCATCCGGTGCACGAGGCTGCACTCGCTGTTGGGCCATGGCTAATTCCAACTTCTCCAGGCCGGCGGGCGGCGGGACCGAGCCCAGGGGGCCCAAGAGCGTCTCTACGACCACCTCGGGGCTAACAATGGTGTACCCGGCGAACACATTGGCATGTTCGGTGATCTGGGCCAGGCGGCGACGGCCAATGAGCTCTCGGACATTGGCGAAATTATTGGCGGGGAGGTTGCTGGACCGTTGCTGTTGCTGTTGCTGCTGGTGGTGATGAAGTGGCTGGGGACGAGAATGGGATTGGGAATGGTGCGACTTGGTGACCTGAGGATACGGAGCATGGCGGGCAGATTGAGTTGGCAGGGATCGGTAGGCAGACGGCATCGCAGCAGGGACAGCAGCAGAGGGCGCAGGACGAGGAGGGGCAGGAGGAGCGTGCTGCAACAGGGAAGGGCGGGAGGCAGCGGCGGCGGCGGCAGCGGTGGTGGTGGTGGTCGAGGGGGCAGCAGTAGCGGTAGCGGCAGCGGCAGCAGCAGCAACGGCAGCAACGGCAGCAGCAGACGCAGAGGCGGTCAGAGGCGACAGGTGGTGAGGGTGGTGAGGGGCGGCATAGTGGTGAGGAGGAGCCAGATGGTGGGGGTATGAGGGGAGTCGGGCCATCACGGCGCCGAGCGACTTGACGCTGTCCAGGAAATTCGAGCGCGGGTTGTGGACGGGCACGCTAGGGCTGTGTGTATACTGTGCCCTACACTCAGTGGAGGACTCGCCCAGGTAATACCAGATCTGTTCGCCCTTGGAGAGGTCGACCTGCGTGGGTGGTGGGGCGGCCTGGTGGTTAGGGTGATTAGTGCTGTCCACCGTCTCGAACTCGGCCCACTGATACGGAGATCGTCCATCGCCAAACGGATTCCCTGCCACCGGCACTGCCGATTCCAGCTCCTTCCGCGCCTCGGGCTTCCGGGCCAAGTGGGCGGGCAGTGGCCTGGTACCTGGAGCCAGCGGTGAGAAATTGCTCCTGCGCACCACCAGCATCCACCGGTATGGTAACTCAATTACGTCCCTGCAACATGCCCGTTAGTCTCGTCGACATCATCCTGGCCCGATCGGGAAATTTCCAAACACCGCTGGCGGGGCTCGCCATGCGTTGTTCGGTGGGTTCACACTTACCCTCGTGGGAGCACCTTGACTAGTAATGTCCGTTCCTCGGGTCGATTCTGGAGCACAATAGCGCCATTGATCTCCTTGTCCGCCTGGAACTGGACCAAATCCCCCGCCACCAGGCCCTGGGCGGTCTGGATGAGTTTGCGGTCATAGTCAGGTGACTCGCCGCTGGCCATCCACGACGGCTTCTTCTGACGGTGGTATTTGCACTTGAGGTCAACGCTGGGGATCGAGTACTGATTCCCATCGTCCGCAATCACCGCAATTAAGCCCTGTTCCACCTGAACGCCGGCCAACAGTGCACAGGTGGCGTGGTATGACCGGGTACACTTGCCAAAGTTGCACTGGAAGCAGGCCCCGCGGACTTCGCGGCAGAAGAGACACTTGAGACCCATGCGGGCCTTGGGGATCTTATCCACATCACACACCACCTCCTTGCCACTTTCGTCGCGAAGGACCGATGTTTCCTCGGTATACAAGGCACAGCGGCGGTGAGCATGAGATTTGCCATCCTCGGTGGGCAAGAGGTCCTCATAATCCAGATTGTTGGGACACAAGACACAGGGAATCTTGCGTGGGACTTCCATATTGACCCGCAAGCGTTTGGCCTTGGTGGTTTCACCGTCATGCTTTCGCTTGCGGACACGCGTCGATGTCTTTTCTGGGACACTGCGCGGAGGCGTCAGAAGATCAGAAACCCCTTCCATCTCGTCTAAGTCACTCTCGAATTCGCCATAATACTCGGGCGTGGCTTCGCCCCGGAGTTTGCGTTCGATCTCGTCGACATCAATCCAGACACTATCAGCCTCGCAGTGGCACTTCTTGGCGACCCGACCGTAATCGAGCCACTTTTCGGTTGCGAAGTTGACAGACTCGGCACAGTTGTACCCCAAATTGTAGCCGGAATGGTACCCATACGGGTAAGTAATGACAAACTCGCCCTCATAATGCACTAACTTGTTCACGGTAATGCCGTACTGGGACTTGAGCAGATTGGGGGAAACCAGGTAGGTCTTGTGGCGGAGAAATTGATCGCAGTTCTTAGCGTCACTGGGCCAGATGCCTAGTTGGGAAAGTCGACGTTAGCGTCGGGAATCACCTAACGTTTCACAAATCGGGGGCGGTAAGCTTACTCTTCATGGCCTGCTCGAAGCGAGGAGCATCCTCCTGTGAGATGCTGTACCATTGTTTCGGAGCACCAAAGTGAATGTAGTTGATGCTGTAAAGGTCGACGTCTTCCAGGTGCCAAGCGAAAGTTGCCTTCCACATGCCCAGATACAGGTATGCCGTATTGACACCGGGCACCTTTTGTCCCAAAACATCCAGCAAGTTCGGTAAGCGGGCAACGTTCCATGAGGTCGTTATGTTGTCATCGAACAGAGAGCCCGGCATATCCGCACCGTACAAGGGGTTGTTGAACATCAAGGATTTCCAGTAGTTGGTCTCGAGCTCCTCGCATCTTTCATAGGTGTAGTCCTCGTTGTCGTGGATGCGATAATCAAAGTCTCTGAAGGCCTCTTCATCCACGTAGTCGATGGCATCCCCCTTGTTGTGCTTTCTGCGCGACGTGACCGACTTGGGCTGTCGTCCCTTGGGTTTCGGGCCAGGTAGCGATTCGCCATCGCTCAGTTCCTCTGTTTTGGCTTCGACGGGGTTGGATTCAGGCGACACCGGTGTTGGCGGACCTTCCGGCTTGATCTTGTCCAATCCCTCATCGGCTGACGGCTCCTCCTTGATCTTCACCTGGTTGGCCCTTTTGGGCGGGCGACCAGGGCCAGGGCGACGTTTCTGAGAGTCTGATCGAGCTGTCTGAGCCTTGGGAGCAGGCGGGCGGTTCACTCGCTCCTGATTTTTGCGCCGCTCGCCTCTCCGGGCAGGCGGCTGGTGGCTGCTCTCTTCACACAGCGCTTTCCACTGGGGCAGGTTGTATGATCTCTGTCTCTCGATGTTCGCCTGGGTGTAGGTTCCGTGCGAACCGTGGAATTCCTGCATGATCGGATTCTTCACACGGATCTTCTTCACAGCCTCGTCGAGGGCTGGCAAGGAATCGGTCCTAGGATTGACACAATCGGTAAGCGTCCTGTACAAGTAACTGTCCGCAGAAGCGCCGAGACACACCATTCTTTAGGGGGTATAACTTTGATGATTCCGGACCGCATGCCGTACTCCTCCACCTTGTTGATGAACGACTGGAAATCGCGGAACTGGTCCATGGTCTATGGAGAAGCCCCATTAGCTCATACCCTTAACACCAAAGCCAGCCGGGCTGAGTAAACAGGATAGAGGACTCACCGGCTTGAACACCGGAATCTTGCCGCCACCGTAATAATGGTCCGGTTCGATCTCCTCATCATCCGCCTCCACCGATGGTATTTCCTGGGCGCCGGTGGCATTGGGATCGAGTTCGAGATCCGATAGCTCTGACGGAACCCCATCCGGAACCTCTTTCTTGCCGGTCACGCTCTGGGGAGGGGTGATTGAGGCTGCGTCGGTCGCAGGACCGCCCGCGATCGACTCGAAAAGGGGTTGATCAAGCGCTGCCGCCATCATCTCAAGACGGAAAGGACAAAGGGGTGAAATTGGTCGGAGCTCGATAAGGATGCCGTCGTCGGAATATGCGACCGCTGATCGACGGCAGGAGAGGGAATCCCAGCGGTCGGGGGAGAAGGCGTTAAGTCGAAAAGGACTTCAGCTATCGGGACTGGAGATCGGTCAATATCGCGCAGGTACCTCCGTTCGCAGCGGGTTCCGAGGTGGTCAAGAAAAAAAGGAAAATAAAAAAAAGATTAAAATTAAAACGGGCGAAACGGAAAAGTGTTATTGGGGGTACAAGATAAGAGAAGTAGTGGTGATGACGAAGGGAGAAAGGGTTGGTGGACTGCAAGGCTAGATGATCCGAGCTCCCAGAGACGAATTGCTGGGTATAGGGATCATGCGAAGCAGAAAACGCCGGCACAGATAAAGATAGGGACCGGGTGGAACGGCGGGTGTAAGTAAAATTAGCAAGTGGATGATGAGATCGGTATCGTAGTGGTCTCAGTCGAGGACCAGCAAGCAACGCAAGCCCCTCCTCCAGGTTGAGCCTTGAGGCAATGGAGCGAGTGAGAAGATTTGCCGTGGGTGCAGGACCAAGCAGCACAGGATGTTCAGCAACGAGGGCGCTAGTTCGCCAGCAATGCAGAGTGGCCCAGAGGCAGGAAAGGCTAGTGCGAGGGCAATGGGACGCTAGCAGCAGCAGGAAGCAGGCAGGCAGGGGCCCCAGAGCCAATCCCAGCCCCAGCGTCACGTCGGCCGGTTCGAAGGGTGGACCCGGCCAGAGCACGATGGCCTGACTTGACTTGAGGAATGAGTGGGAATTGATGGGACGGAGGGAGGGTGTCTGACTCTGACTGTCTGGTTTGGTCTTCTAGTCTGGTCTGGTCTGGTCTCGTCGTTGCCGACTGAAGAGAGCCTGAGCGCCTGAGCCAGAGTCTGAGCCTGAGTCTGAGCCTGAGTAGTGGATGACTCTTAAGGCACCAATCCAGGTCGAGTCAAGGCACGTAATTTTGCCCGGCCGCGAGCAGATCTCAGCACGTCGCCGGTGTCGGGAAAAGGCGAAGGTTGAAACACTGGTATGAGGGAATAATCGGCACTTACACTGACAACAAGCAGAACAAAAAAGGGAATGAATGACCTGCTCCACGGCAGTCTTCCAAGGGCGATCCCGTCCAGCTTGAATGCGATGAATGGCCTCTCTATCAACCGAGTCGTCAGAGTAGTACTTCCTTCGTGCTGGGGATCGATCCTGTGCTCCAACGAATCGACAACACTCTCGAGTCGCTGCCGCCGAGTCACGTGTAGCACATGACTGGCCGGGATCAGACGGCACCAGGCTTAATGCAGACTAGAGCCATACCACGCCCAGTTACGGTACGTGTGGGAGGCAGACTACACCACGCGGTAGACATGAGCACGCTGTAGGCTGTGCAGACGCAGTAAGTTACGTTACCTGATGCGAACTCGGATAGCGGCGGCCCGGCAGAAATTCCCTGGAAGCAGAAGCCTCGTCGAGCTTCTCCAACTGCAGCCGGCAAAGACGCTACTGCTAGTGAAGATCCCCAAACATGACTATCACTAGACTAGGGGAAGGGGTCTGATCGGGTATGATCTCACCAGCCGAGGTTGTTATTGGATGGATTCATTTAGCCGGTGGTAAAGGCGGCTGTTTTGTGTTACTGAGTTTCTGGACTGGATGTATCCAAACCACCATATACCTAGGTAGGTAGGTAACACATCAGTTTTAAGATACTACCAAGTGCTTTCACTGAGAAGTTTAGAGTAGATATGAGTAGTACGGAGTAAAGTATCCGCAATACGACATAAATCAACAACCTGCATAATAACCACCCATAGTTACAACTCAGCCTTGAGTAATTGAGTCCGTACTCAGATTTACTCTCTTCTCGTAAAATATGCCCAAAGCGAACAATATCAACAACCACTCCATCGACTATACACCATCACCACTGCAACGCCCAAACCAAAACACGATCAACCGACCACCTCAACACCAGAAGAACCCTCATTGGACACATCCCCATCACCAAGACCAAATCCATCTGCACCGTATCATATTAAATCACCCTCCTCCAAGTAGTACTAGTAGTAACTTTTTATCTTCCACCCCGACCGACCGACCTACATACCTACATGCATATGCACAACAAACCCCCCAACCCAACACCGGAAGACTAACCTACCTACCACCATCCGCCAACCCATAAACCACACCCACAATTTACAGAGTACAGATAGGAGAATACTATGTACAGTACGGAGTCCAGACGGAGTAATCTCCCTCCTCCATCTACTGGTCTTACACACCTTCCTCAAATGACCATCTGCAGAACACACCTAAATCCCCTTTATCACTGGCCCTGATAGGCCAACTACCCCAGATAAAATCAGACCAGACCCCCATCCACACACGACCCAACCCAATTTCAAGCAAAGTAAGTAAGTAAGTAAGTAAGCAAGCAAGTAAGTTTTCTTCGGTATGCACTCTGCACAAGCAACATGCAGTCCGGTTTTCCGTTGGGCATGAATCTGGTGGCGTGGGTGCATGATTTCCTCCGTGGCGATTGGTGGGTTGTCCGGTCACTACCTATCGTATACTAGTACTGTCCGAGGTTGGGTTGGGTTTCGTGAAGGAAATTAGAGGGAGGGATGGGCTGACGGTTGACTGGTTGTGGATTGTGGCATGATTTCTCGAAGGAAATTAAGTTGGGACCACCGACTTGGGTGGGATCGTGTTGTCGGGCCGGTGGTGCGGTTATGTGCTGACTGACTGACTGACTGACTGCTGGATCCAGATTGTTAGGCTGATGCTGATTAATCGGGGTGGCATCGGACTGGGTTCTGTATGTATGAATGTATGTAGGTGACAAGAATCAACCGGCGTGGCGTGGTTGAGGGTCTGCGTCGGCTAGTGGCGTCCGCATGGATGTACATGACTAGTAGGACAGCTGTTTCATCGCCATCTGGATGGCGGATGCAGTGGACTCCCGAGGTTTATGCATCTCATCGGAAAGAGATGGTGGGGAACTAGACGCTGCTGCAAATCATCTCTCGCATAGGTATCGACTAGAACTAGATGCGCCCAACGCCCGTCATGGCTAATTACACTCGTTATAGACAAAACAATGCAAGCATTCACCAGTTAATAATCCTCAATAGTCATTCAGCCGCAGCTTCTTCCCGACAAACCGACGTTTCTCAGGCTTATCGGTGCCCCGCTCCCGGTCTGCATTCAGCCCCTTGAGCGCGTGGAGCAGCATCCCTGCATCGAAGAATCCGTCTGGTTCGGGTGTCAGCCGCGGTCGTTGAACGCAAGGGAACACCGTCAGGGAGTGTGCACTTACATCCGCCCATGCCATCGTCCTCGAGTTCTCCACTGTCCGTCGTGGGTGTCTCGGCACCCCGATTCAGCTGGCCCGGGTCGCCCCGGACGATCCGGCCCCGGCGGTGATCCCCCTGGAGCCGCTCGGCAATCATCTCCATCTCGCGTGCCCTGCTCGTGCGCGGGCTCGCTGGCCGCTGGTTGACGGCCCGCAGCAGCTTGCGGATCTCCATCAGGTACGACTCCAATGTGTACATCAGACGCGCGGTCTGCCGGTGCTTCGACGACGCGCAGAACGATATCGAGTCGTCCTTGATGATGTAGCCGATTCCAAAGCCGTCTGCAGACGTGGGCCCGAAGCCAAAGTGTCGTAGGCACGGGTTGCCACAGTTGGAGGTCGACAGCACCGTGGTGTTGATTTTATCCCAGCCACCATCACTAAAAATGGCGGGCATGGTGCGCATGCCGCGCACGTAGCCACTGGAGGACAGTCCATCCTCCGACATCGAAGAGGAGGATTTAGGTGACTCCATCGGGCCTTCAGTAGGGCTAGTGTACCCATTAGAGCTGCTGACTACACTGTTGCTCGCGAACGAAGCGCCGTCATCGAAGGACCGCTGCCATAGGCAGTACAGGGCATACAGATGCCGGTCTTGTCCCTGGCCCTTGGAACATTCCTTGGTGATGGCCGTATGTTTCTCGGTCGCTTTCCGCAGAGCGGTGACCTTCTGTTCTGCCGGATTATCCCCCCAGAAGGCCTTGACAAAGTCGACACACTCGTTGGTCACCGTCCGGATAGCTTCGGTCCGACCGTGTAGAAAGGCTTTAGTCATCGCCGGTTCGTAGGTGTTCTCCATGTGCCCGTAGAGCCCGTAGTATGCGGCTTGGAATGCCATTTGCACAAACGCATCAGGGGAGAATCCCATCGAGGTGATGAAGTTCTTGCCAAACCCTTTGAAGTCGAGTACTTGGAACTCATGCTGCTGTAATAGGTCGGAGAGATGGGACTCGGCAAACCGCAAAGCAATGCTGAGTTCAGGCACCATATCCCACTCCAGCTTGCGAGGTGTCGTGCTGACGTTACCGAAGCTTCGAGGGTCGCGTTTGGAAGGGTCCGGGCTGGCCGTGGCCCAAAGGCTGGGTGCTTGACCGTTGATCGTCCGGGCGAAACGGAGTATGGTGTCCGTGTAGACGTCGCTGGCAAATCGAAGGACCGTATGGCCATCAACACCAGTGTGTTCGAAGTTGATCCCTGCACTGCCATTCTTACACACGATGATTTGCAGTTTGTCGTACCACCGGTTGGTGCAAGTACCGACTTGCACACCTCGGACCACTTCGCTCGTACCGCAGAGCATGTTGGCGCAGAGCTCAGACGTGTTGTGGGGTTCGGTGTAGTCCAGACACAAAACAAACAAGGCGGTGTCCACGATATTCAGACATTCCGCATTGTTTGATCCCTCGTCCTTGGTGAGGATGTCCCGCAGTCCAGACCACACCTTGCGATTCTCCGTGCTCAGAACACCAAGAGCCCCCTTCGCAGCGTCGTGGATGGGTGTCTGTTCAGCATCCCCAATGATCACTTGGAGATTGACAGCAATATCCTTCTCATTCATGATCAAGTCATGGTTGTCATCCAGCACGTCGAACCAATAGAACTGGCCCCGACACATCACAACAATATGTTTTGCATGAGGATCCTGGCCGATCACGCACCCATTGTCCGTCGGTACACGCGCTGTGCCGAAGAGGCGAGAGTATTGATACATGCAGAGGGGCGTGCCCCGGACTGTGTCGGGAGGGAGTTCCTCCCGTCGAACGGCTCGGACAAAAGACAAGGCAGAGACAACGAGGGAGGCGGCTCTGGTCACTTGGTTGTTTCTCGCAGGGGTTGGATCATCTTCCAACAAGAAGAAAGGGTTAAGGTTCAATACAACAGCTATGGTCAGTCAGTAATTGGGTCTCTTTGTCTTGATAGTATGATGCTTCTTACGGCTGTCATAGTTCAAGTACGAGTCGTACCCTATGGCAGAAATGCAGTCAGCTTGTAATTGCCCGAGAGGCACAAGGTAGGGTTTGTAAAGGAACACTCACAAAACTGCTCAATGTAGCTGGTCTTTGACGAGGCATAGGTTTTCAGCTTCTCCTGAAGAATAGGCCCTTCCGACTTGAGAAAGTCCTGCACAGCTGCTCTCGTCTCATCCTGCTCTCGGGGTGTCTGCAGTGGGGCTAAAGCATCAAGATATCTCTTGCATGTTTTCTCGAGGTCTGGGATGGGTAGCTTGGGTAGGGAATCCTGGTTGGCGAATGTGATGCCCTTCTTGGACGGCTCTGACGTCACCCCATTCACCGATGTAGGGATCGTAGACGGCTTGATCTTGGGCTCAGGGGATTGGTGCGAGCGAAAAGAATCCATTGCGCTTCCTATGGGCTTAGGAGCCGTGAAGTGACGGACTGCTACGGACGAGTAGGACATGGCGTCAGCACGATGCAGCCCGTCCTGGAATTGTATAGACTATATGAAAAGGGCTAGGAATGTGCGGATTTGGTGGGAGAGGTAGGATGCTGCGATAGAAAGAGAACAATGTTGCAAGCAAAGGTGCTGAGGGACTATCTCATGACCACGGTCGAGTCACGGGGCAACGGTGATCACAGGGAGGTTGAGGGCATGGGCAGAGAAGAGCAGATACGAAGATGGGCAGAGGAAAGGGCATCATATATAAATGGGCTCTGTTGAAGGCGCGACAAGCCATCATCTCATAGCAATTCCCGGGGAGCAACTGCAGGCCGCGGGGTGGAACCCAAAGGTACCTTCGGGATAAAGGAATTAGACGGGGGAATGGACACTCACAGCCTAGCTGCCAAAAGCAAAGAGACGGTCTGCGCCCAGATGAAACGGTCGAACCAAGGTGGATCAACTCGCCGGGCCTAACCGTCCGCGGCTGCGCCTAAGGCCAGGAGGTAAACGTAGTATCGGGGGAACGGATGAAATCTGGTAGAGGGGGAATGGAAGAAGTATATCCAGCGCGGCCTGCCAAGAGATATGCGCGATAGCCCGGTGGGCCGTACACGGTGGAGGAGGCGGGGCAGCCTGCTGCTAGATACCTGGGCATCAAAATAATTGATATCAGTGTCAATGATCCCAGAAGCGCACGACAGTCCCCTCCTGCGCGAGGCTGCTGAGGGAGTTGCTTCTGCCGTGCTATACGAGGTGATGGGAACTGCGGGGAGGGGAAGGACCAGCCATGGAAGACATCATCATGTGAAACCGAGACCTCCAGGCAGACAGCGAGAACGGTGGAACGAACGGAGACCGACTGGGCAGAACACGTACCGGACGAGAGGCACAGCCAATGAGGTACCGTGTCCAGTTGGATTAGGTGAAGTGGTCAAGATGGGTCACTGCAATGACCGCATTAGACAGTAGTTTAATAAAAGACAAAAGGCTCTTAGTGAGATGGGTCCCAGTCTGTAGCCTCGCGACACGACCAGGATTGGGACATGTGGCGACAATGCGCGAGGGAGAACAGGCCAATGGATTGTCGACCACGACGAAGGTTGCAGCGTGGCTGGTGACGCTTCGGGCGAAGGGAGGGCGTCGAGGTCTGCTTGCGGGGGAGGAAGGAGCTGCCAGAACTGACTTTGGGCGTGATGGCCACAGTCACGTGGGTGGGTCGGGAATCCATCGCTCGCTGCTTATCTTTAGCACTATCGAGTGTCTATTATAGTACGCCGTATCTATAGCATCTACCGACAGGATCACATAGATCGAGACTGGACTACCGCTCTGATTATTACTAGATATCTACTCGGTCCGTCGAACTACCCATCTCCCCATCCACGGCTCGCCAGGTGTCATGGAAAAAGGTCTCATCATTTGGCTTTTGTCATCCAGATCCAAGTACCGTCTCTAATCAGGGCGCCCATATCCACACTCGCTTGCAAACATCCGTATCATAATCACACGAAATGAAGAGAAGAGAAGAGGCCGATGCGTCAGGTGGTGTCATTGCGGTACCATCCAAAACTCACACGGGAAAAAAAAAAAAAAAAGAATATTCACAGATGAAGATAAACAAGATAGTCACAACAGGTCCTGCTCTGGCCCTCGGGCTCTGCCCGGGTGGGGGGACCCTCGGTTGCTCGGGGCAGCGGTGGTGCAGATCTTCCCCGGATACTCGAGTCGTCAGAGCGCCTTGGCGATCAGGGCGTGGAACAAGCACAGTGCGGTTTTCAGAAGAAGCTTATTATCAAAAATAGACATTGCGAAGTCGAAATGAAAATTTACTTGCAAAAAGGACGGACGATCGTCAGGTTCTCCATTGTTCGGCTGGGATTCCAGATCGCCCTCGCACTTGATGGGTTACGGGCGGTGTTTACTTCCACAAGAGGCACATCCATCCCGTCGCATCGATATCCCAACCCGTCGAGTGCGGGGAACCAATGGTTCCTTGGCGTGGTGCAAGAGCGACAGTCTCCAGGCAATCGGAAGCAAGCATCTCGTCGTTTAGGAAGCAACGTACATGGCCTGTCCGAGGGGACGCTTGACATTGGTGCCATATTCACCCTCGTAGTTTCCTGCAAGTACGTTAGCAATCACCCTCGCTACAAATTGGAACGCTTGCACTAACCGGCAGGGCTGTAGTTGCAGACAGTGAAAGGCAGCGCTTCCGAGGCATCGACGTTGCCCAGGCTGTTGCAAGTAACCGTGGCGCAGCCGACCTCGGTGGTGGCGGCCCAGACGATCTGGGAGAAGTGACCCCAACTATCGAAGTAGGTCATGTCGGGGTCGGCCTCTCCGTACAGGTCGGTGTAGTAGCCCATTTCGTCGTTGTACATCAGGTTGGTGATCATGACGCCGATCTCGTCCGCCGAGACACCATATCCAATGTTCTGGCCGTAGCCACCGCCATCAATGCTCCTGTCATTCCAGTTAGCAAGGGGAGCCCGTGTCCTACCGGTAAGCGGTGTACTTACGTGTCGTGCTCGTAGACACACTTGGCAGCCAGAGTGTAGGCGCTCGACTCCAGGCTGGAAGACCACGAAAGAGAGCTAGCCGAGTGGTTGCTGCGGTGGACGTTGTGGTTGTACAAGACAGCGGACTGGTAAGCGCTGGTGGCGGTCGAGGTGGCGCTAGACGAGGTCGAGGTCGCAAGGGTGGTCGACTCCGCGGCAGCAGAAGACCAGGAAGAGGTCCAGTAGGAGGTCCAAGCGGAGGTCCAGGCAGTGGCAGCGGCAGCCTCCTCGGAAGTGGATGTGGTGATGACAGCAGCCGCGGTGGTAGTAGGCTCGGCAGCAGCCACCGAGGTAGTAGTGTCAGCAGCAGCAGCCACCGAAGTGGTGTCAACAACAGCAGCCGCCACGGAAGTGGTAGCCTCGACGACAGGAGTGACAACGGACGAGGTGGTGGTCTCAGCGGCGGCGGCGGCAGCAGCAGCAGCACTGGTGGAGTCAACAGCGACGGCGACGCTGGAAGAGGAAGTATCGGCCTCGACCGCGACGTTCTCGTATACCGTGGGGGTACTGGGGTACTCGGTGATGGTGGTAGTGACGGTGACGACGGTCCAGTCAGTCACGTAGGAACGCTTGTCCACATTGTGGGCCATGGCACCAGCGGCGCAGAGGGCGCCCAGAGCGTAAGAGTAGCGCATGATTGCCGAGTTTGCTGTGGGTTCTTGTCTTAGCCAAGAGTTGAGTGATGATGTACAGTTCAACTGTGTCCGACGATGAGAGACTTCTCCGGGAAGTTATCCAACCAGTTGATCAACAAGCACGAAAGATGTATGAAGAAGTGGATTGATTGATTCTGGCGAGAGGCAGATCGACTGCGATGTAAGGGATCGGTTGGGATAGGTGAGGGAGGGTGTATGTACGAATAACCAGCACGTATAGACAAAAGAATGACAGCCTTTGTAAGGGGGAACACTTTTTGAAGGAGTGGAAAAAGTGCACCAAACAGGCGATGTAGTGAAGTGAAAGTTGGGGAGGGCCAACGGTAAATAACGAAGGTAGTGGCGAAGAGCCGAGAGAACGAAGTGATAATATAGTCTGGAGCAAGCACAGCTGCTGGACTTGGGGCGGCAACTTAATCACGGAAAGGAGAGACTCCAGCGGGCGGCGTGTCCCGGTGGGGTCGGCGATCTCTGATAATTAAACGCAAATTAATTCGGACGGGGGAGCTTCATATACGAGTGGGTTCGGACGGATCTCGACGTCGCGATGGGTCCTGGATGATGGATCATGGATCATGGATGGGGATTGGGGGGGGGGAAGTGCCTGTCCCGAGTGCGCAGGCAGGCCAGCATCCTTTCACCAACGATAATTTCTTTCATCTTTTGGCGCCAAAAGGGCATTAATATCGGACCAGCTCGCGTGTACACCGGCGTGGTACCACGGAATGTCGTGCCCTGGAGCCTGTTGCCATTATTCCCCTGAATATGTCCCAACCACGAGCACGTACCCGAGGGCGGATCGCCCACGAAGCCGTTGCTTTGCCCTTTCACAGGCTGATACATTCCCGTCCATGGCGGCTGACAAGGAATCTCCCAGCCAGGGTCTCTAACCTCCGCGTCCCTGAGACCTGAGACGATGTTGGGTCCAGGAAGCGGATGGCCAGAGTCATGCATCGCCATCGGCCGCAGCATAAGGCGGGCATCCGGTGCCGGGGATCGACTTTTCCAGCGACGCCGATTGTTGCCCCTGGAAAGTTGGGATCCCAAAGCCAGCGGCCAACCGTCGACGATTCCCGTGCCCCTGGGCTGCCGCTAAGCCACATCCGGACAAGGCCCATGCCGCCCGTTTCAGGAACCGGCCGCGGTGGGCCAATCAGCGATCTGTTCCAAGCTGATACGGTGATGGGGCCCACGGTTGGCATCACCGGCGATACAGTGATACACGCAGCCCATCATCCTGAAGACTGCTTCTGATTCTCTTTCATGGGTCTCCCAGTTCCAGACCTTGACTTTCAGTTTTCCCCTCCCCGGTCGGGTATCGTCTCCTGTCAAGCGATCCAAGCGCCTAGCATTCGTCATGCCCAGACCAAACCAAGAAACTAGACAGGTGCCGCCGAGGAAACCCTCCGAGATTATACTACTAGTTGTAGGTAACTTACACGGTATTGGGTGCGGAGTACAGTATCAATCTATTCTCCATTACTATTAAACTCAATATGGAAGGACGGATGACGACCAGCAGCAGTGGCCCTCGCACCAGCACCGCAAATTTGGGGGTTGAAAGGCCACTCGTTGCCCACACAATCTTACCTGCACCACTCCCAGGGGTAGTGCAGGGTCGCTAGGCCGACTTAACAGCGATTAACCACCAAAACTTGGCAACTGGCCGCCCCACCCCATCCAGGATGGCGCTCGCTAACGTTTCACTTGCGGCCTTCCATCATCTTCCGGAGATTGGATCACGGTTTCCATTGCCGCTGTAGCTGCCACGGCTTAGCTACCACCTAGCTAGACTTTCTCGCCCTGGGAAATCTGGATGCTTGTCGTGGAGATTCCCGTCGCGAAAGCATCGAGTCTAGAACCACGGATGTGCCGTGCCTGCGATGGAGTCGCGGGGCGGCTTTTTTCCCTAAATTCCCCTTAGGCTTTTCGTGAAGAGGGATTAGTATCGTGCCATTGCCGGGCTGTCTTTGGTACAAACGCCAGTGACACTTGCAGAGCTTCAGAGCCAGACAAACACATACATCGGTGAAAGGGGATAAATTCTCTAGCCGTTTGCCTGGGCTGACATCGTTCCGTGGTTCAGCCGGGTAAGAAAAAAGACAGACACCATCAATTGCATTCAGATTCATCATCGGTCTTTCACCACCCATCCAATCTATCCAATCCCATCCACCACATTCAATGAAATCCCTCATTGTCCACTGCAGTTCATGAAAGGATCTGTCTCTCGCCACCCCTTCGATCCTTGGATACCGACCGTTAACATTTCCCTTCCTTCTTCTTCCGCAGACGTAAGCAACCACCCCGTCAGCCATGGATAGATACCCTGTGCTTATCCACGGTCGGAAATGCGGTATTTCCTCTCGGTGCCTGGATCCAACTAGCTCTCTACCTATCGGAATTGAAAAGCTGTGTAGCTGTCAGGTACACGTGGATGTGATGCATGGAAATGATGGTACAGTGGCTGAATCGATTCTTACTAAATTCGCCGACCGGTCGTGTTCCGTCCCTATCCTGTCATCGATCCCGTCGGGTACATCGGCTAGTACGGAGCTTGGCACTGCCAATGGATATAGCATCCACCACTCCGGATACAACTACTACAAAGTATCTACAAGCAGTACCATAGGACGTGATAGAATGGTCGCGCTAGAAAATTCTATCAACCAGCGTTTTCTAATTCTCAACTCTAGAATCAAGTGGTGGGCCGGTGTATTAACTCGGCCTAGGCAACGGTCAATCTCTGCTGGCAGTGTAGTGTAGGAAGTGCTGCGTAGGCTCTCGCACCACCCTTCACCCAACAGCCTTGTACTATGCCAACAGTACTACCGTTGTACCAACTCGACGGAGCACCAGATACCGGGACGGCTATAAGGCAATAGGGGAAATAGATTACTCCCCAATCTACGCACATTATCCTAAGCCTCATCCGGTGAATGAAATTAAGAGTTAATTGGATAGCAATATCACGAGATAGTTGACTTCTCAGCATTCCGTACATACATCGAAAGGAGCTAACTCAATTACTTTATTCCGAACTAACTAAACCAGTGACTCGATTGCCTCGCATTACGGAGTACAACTCATTACTAACCCCATTTCCTAGGCTGTAGTATGTGGAAAAAAACTCCAGAGTCATGAAACATCCCGTAGGTTTCGCTGAAACTCACTCAGAACAACCACCCAAATATGATCCCTAATCGCATCACTTCTTTCGTCCCTGTCATTAAACAAGAATGTAGTATCCATGTCGATTCAATCTGTTTCAAACCTAGACTTCAATATCACTATTCATCCAATTGAGTCATGGGTATTCGATAGCAGGAATGATAAAGTTTTGTGCGACAACAGAATGCTTCAAGTTGGTCAAGGTCTAGACCCATCAAGGGCTGAGCACGACCGATCGTTCCGTGTCTCAGGTGTCTGAATATCTCGATGGTTCCCGTCCTGGCAGGGCCGAGACACGGCGGTCATGGTCAGCAATCAACCTGCAATATCCCAGTGTCACGGTGGATGGGTGGTGAGGGATCATAATTGTGCATCCCTGTGAAACTCGGCAGGGACATTGGCTACACATGTCATACTACACTCATCTAGCCACTCAGGTACGGCTGCAGACTGTTTTGTGTCAAATGCACGATCATTCAGTATATGACCTATCACTTGCAAGCCATTCTGCATGAGTAAATACTTTGTTTAGATTTCTTCATTTACAATCATATGTTCACCATTCGGCACCGCCCTTTTTCACAAACCATGAGATGATTCTTGCCCGTTTCTGACGGCCGCAGCTCCTTATACATTGCGTTGCGCGTCCGTAGCCAGAATGACTGATTCCCTACAAAGTCTCCCACGTGAGAGGGTCGGATATCCACCAGAGACGCCGTCGTCGTCGCAGTCGAGATCGCCAGCCCGGCTTCGGCGCGGATTTTCTGTACAATCAGGTCTCGCACACAGACCGGCTCGTTCGTCTTTCGGATCACGCCCTCCGAGGCTTGAACACTGCTCTCAATGGCGGCAGTCGAGAACACACCGGTGACGTTGCGTGTACCGGTCTCCAACCCGACAATCGCATCCAGAAGTCCGACAAAGAGGAATGGATGCTGGAGGACCTCCACGGCAAATGAGTGGCAGGTCTGCCGGGCAAGCGTTCTGTATTCTTCATCTTCCAGTAGGCTTGCGAGGCGCAGCAGGTTGCGAGCAATGACACCATTGACGGACGGCGTGGCCGACTCCGTGCCAGTCTTCAGGCGAAGAAGAGGTCCCGGAGACCCTGCTGTCATCGTAGAAGGTGTGGTATAATAGCCCGCTGGCGTGGTTCCTACATATGCAAGGAACTCCCGGTTGAGGTATTCTAGCGTAGTGTCAGTATCGCATGGCTCCAGCTGAAACTTGCGGAGTCACTTACTCTGCAGTTGTTCGGCGAACTGCAAGTAGCTATCGTCAAATGTAGCCTCATACATATCCAGCAGCCCGCCAATTAAATACGCGTAGTCCTCGGCGAAGCCTGGGGTGTCGCCTTTACTGCCATCGCGATAGATGCGCCAAAGTTGCCCAGTAGGCTGATCGAACAAATGTTCCTTGATGAAGCTGATCGCCTTGGCCGCCGCCTCTCGGCATTGGACGGCCTTGGAGCTCTCAATGTCCTCGAATAATGTACTGCACTTGGCCAGTGCACCGATGGCCAGTCCATTCCAGGCAACAATGATCTTATCATCCAAATCCGGCCGGACGCGCGTCCTTTCCCGGTAATCGCGGAGTTTCTGCTTCGCGGTTCTGATGATTCGCACCACCTCCTCTTCCCCGAGTCCAAAGTCCTTTGCAAGCTTGCTCGGAGTCACCTTGACAGAAAGAACGTTTTGATTCATGAACTCGTCATGGGGGTCGTTCTCGGGCGCGATGTTCCCGTCAGGAAGCACTCCCCAGTGACGAGCACAGACTCCAGCATCCCGCTGACCAAGCACCTGCGTCAACTCCTTCAATGTCCAGACGTAAAAAGCGCCTTCCCGCTTCTCAGTATCATTGGCTGTCGGAAGGCTATCGGCATCTTCCGACGAGTGGAACGCGCCCGTTGGCGCCTGAATCGGTGCCGTCGTCAGGTAAGTAGCCAGGTCATAGACTGCACCGAGCAACTCGGGGTTGTGGGTGATCTTGAATGCATCCACGTAGACATCCAAGAGTTGCGCTTGATCGTACAACATTTTTTCGAAGTGAGGCAGGCCCCAGTCACCAGTGACACTGTATCGTGCGAAGCCATGTCCGATATGATCCCGTATGCCTCCGCGCGCCATACTAATAAGCGTGTTAACGGCCATGGCGGTTGCATGCTCGCATTCGGCCCTTCCAACGATGTCAGAAACAGCAGTCGGGTAGATGCCCAAGCGTAGCAGAAAGCTCAGGTTGGAGGGCGTGGGGAATTTCGGCGCTGCGGAGAAACCGCCATGTACAGGATCATATCGAGACAGAAAATGTTGGTAGGCCTCCTCTAGCAGTTCGATGTCCAGGTCCTCGTCCGCTTGCCGGTCACCTTGATAAGAATGAGTCCCTTCCTCTGCGAATTCCCGAAGCTGCTTCGTAATTTCTTTTGCGCTTTCGCGGCACCGAAGTTGTTGAGTCTCCCAAACGTCTCCTAATTTCTCAAGAATCTCAACGAATCCGATTGTCTCCGTTCCTGTCAACGTTGAGGAATTCGGGCCGGGCCAATAGGTACCACCAAACACAGGCTCAAGATCTGGAGTAAGGAAAACATTCAGAGGCCAGCCTCCAGAGCCAGTAGTGGCCTGCACGTAGTTCATGTAAACATCGTCGACGTCGGGTCTCTCTTCGCGATCCACCTTGATTGGAATAAACGACTCATTCAGAATCGCGGCCACCTCCTGCGACATGAATGATTCCTTTTCCATTACATGACACCCTTGTTCTGCGTTAGGGCATGTGGCCACCAATGTGCGATGCGAGAGGACTTACAGTGGCATGCTGAATAACCGATGCTCAGGAAGATCAGCCGGTTGTAGCGTCTGGCCAACTCGATGGCTTCCGCACCCCATAGCTGCCAGGCCACTGGGTTGTTCATATGCGCCCTAACCTATCCGTCGGTCAGTCTTTGGTCTGAAGGCCGAGGGTTGCTAAGTCTCACGTAAGGTGATTTGCTGTCGCGTAGTCGGTTGACGAGTCTCGGACCAGCATCCGTCACGCCATCGTGATGCATGGCTAATGGGGCAGCCATCGTGAGGCCGTGGGACATCCACACAGCGGGTCGCTTGGGTTGGTAGATGATTCGTCCACCCCGGCTAGAAGGCACACAGCCTCGGGTGCGCAGGTTGGAAAGAGGGGAAGTAGCTGATAAGATACCACCTGGCCACCAAGCTAGTCAGGGGTGTTGCAAAGCACGAGCCGGAAGAGCGAGAAGTGAGTATGGGTCAAAATGACAGGCCAGGAGTCAAGGTGGCAAGGAAGGGGACTACCAGCTACACGGGGCGAGAGCAGCAGGCAGACCAGCTAGTGGGATGAGGGGAGATGGAGAAGGAGTGAGGAGGAAGCATGTGCCCGCGTTAGACTGGCCCGCATCCGGGAGATCGTCGCCCGCCGTGCGTCATGGGTGCATCAGGGGGTCACGTGCACCCCGTCGCCGTCTCTCCCCCAGAATACATGTGGCTCTCCTACGGCCCTCTCTATACTAACTACATCCTAAAGGGTAAGTACGGCGTGAATCTTCCTCCCATGGCAGCTGCTAGGCTCAATCTTCTCCCATCAGCTCCGCCAGCTCCCGTTCCTCTTCCTCTGTCAGCATCGTCCCCGGGTTCTCTTGCTGCTCTTCATCCTCGGTGGTCTTCTTCGCCGCCTCTACTGCGCTCTGCAGCTCGTCGGGTTTCAAGGACCACTGGCGAATCGTGGCATCGATTCCAACACTGACAACTGTGGATCCCAGGAGCACGAGGCCGGTAACTTCTTCGTAGTGGCCGGAAAATGTATGGTAAAGCTGTCCAGTCTGCACAGGAAAGAACCGTGTCAGTCAAGTTACCTTGCCACAAATACAAAGGCACAGCGAATGATAGAATATACGCACAGATCGATTCCACACGCGAACTTCTTCATCGCGGCACGCTGTGACAACCCAGCCTCCTTGTTCGTAGACCACCACATCTCGCACGTAATCTGGGTGAGCCAGTGTCAAATTGGGTTTCCAGCCATCCTCTCGCACGAGACACTTGGATGTTTTGTCGGCGGAGGCGGTCCATAAATCGGCGTCAGCATCGAAGAACAGCTTGTAGACGTTGGTGTCATGGGCTAGCAGGGCATTCGTGCCGGTAAGGTCTTTACTGCCGGTCGATAGATCGAAATGACGAATCTCTCGATCGCTACCCGCGCTAAATACAACCAGTTCAGAGCTATCGGAGTCGAGGGAGATGGGATCGAGGGCGAGGTCTTGGATCCCCTTGGCATGGCCTTTCATTACCGAGAGCCGTTGGCCGGTCGCAATATCGAAAACGAGAATCTGCGCGTCGGCGCCGCCAGAGACCAGAACATCTTGGTCATGCAGCCTCGCGCTGACCACGGATCTCACAAAATCGGTATGCCCCTCGTAGCGCAGCCTCGGTTCTTTCGACGCCACATCCCAGCTCCAGACGGTCTTATCCCAGCACCCCGCGAACAGCAAACGGCCGTTAGGACTAAGACAGATACTCGTGACGGGGGCGGTCGGGCCTTTAAAGACAGCTGCAGTTTCACCGGTCTACAAAAGTAAGACGAGAGAACAAAGAACGGCTTAGTCCAGGTTCCAACGAGGCGTCCAACAACAAAGATCCAGTGCACCTACTTCGAGGACGACCTTCCTGACCGTACCACCACTCTGAGCCACATAGACGGATCCAGCACTCAGAGGGTCGGCTGCGACCGCGAGAATCTTACTCTGCAGTCGAATGGGGTTGCCATTGGTGTTCTGGGATTTGGCGTCCTTTCGCTTCTGCTCGTCAAGGGCGGCTCTGGAGGCGAGGGGCATCAGCGACTAGCTCGAGCATGCGGACAGGAGGAGCTGGGCGACAGGTAGGTGGCATGACGAACGTGGTTTGGAAGAAATCATCCCGGTGGGAGGATTGAGCCATGGTGATGATGGTGAGGTTGGGAACGATAATACGGAGCAATGGGAGTCAACTGAGGGGCAAAGCAAGGAATTCGATACTATCCCCAAACTAGTGAAACTCTTACGTAGTGGCACTTGAAATGCTTCCCCGCCGCGGACTCACGTGGAATCCATTCGGGCAAAAGAGACGAAGGAAAGTGCACGATGAGCTTCTGCCGCCCGCCCCAGCCCCAGCCTTCTCCCACCACAAAACCCGGCGTCGATTTTCACCTTTCTTTCTTCTCTCTTCCTCCCATTTCCTTCCCCCCCCCCCCCCCCCTCCCCCACCACAAAACCCGGCGTCGATTTTCACCTTTCTTTCTTCTCTCTTCCCCCCCTTTCCCTCCCCCCCCCCCCCTGCCTCCCTCCCATTGAACAGAGTTTTCCCTATCCTTCCCCCCTCTCCCTGTTTCTTTCCCTTCTATCTTGCGCGTCAATCGCGCACACTCCCTTGTCAGCATGGATATGAACCATTTAATAGGGTCAGTCTTCTATGCCTACTGTACTGGTCTGAACCAGGATTTGTGCGGCTAGGCGGGAGTTAACACCTGGCAGTCAGCGTTTCAACCTGATCTCCAAGAGTGACATTCGGTATGGTCTACCATCGCTTCCACCATCTCTCTCCACTGCCTGCAGCAGCTCCATCGTTGCACCTGGCTGCCTCCTTGGCTGTTACTGACATGGCCCCGTCAGTTATGTTGGAACGTTGCATGAGATCAATCCTGAAGCGTCCACCATAGCCCTGGAGAATGTTGTCTCATTCGGGACAGAGGGCCGGCGAGGCAATCCCAATGAAGAGATTGCCCCGTCAGCCAGCGTCTACGAATACATTGTCTTTCGTGGCAGTGACGTAAAAGACATTAGCGTAGCGGAGGACACCAAGGAAAACACACAGCCTGAACCTCCTCAGGTGCCAGATGATCCTGCTATCCTAGGGGTAAGTCCACCAAACCACCTTCTCTTGCCAAGTTTGCCTCCCCTTGACCTTCCGGGTGCTTTGCGTCCACGGACTTGCTCCGTACGGACAATCGATTCAATGATGAAATATCTCGGATGTAAACTCACAGACCTGTTCCGAATTGCGCAAACAATTCATGTGGATATTTTCCGTTGCCTTCCTTCTGAATAGTCGAGAAGCAAAGCACCTTTACACTGCAATCTCACACCACCTCTTGACATCATGATACTAATCTTGTTTCATGAATAGAGCATGTCTCGTCCAGGACCTACTCAGGGTTTATCTACGCCACAACAGCCTCAGGTGCCTCGTCCGGCGCCTCCGGGTTACCCCCAGCAGCCGCAGTTTCAAGGCTTCTACCCACCATATGGACAACGCTTTGGAGCCCCCGGTTTCCCTCCCGGACCTGGTTTTCCGAATATGCCGTATGGAGCTCCGCCACCCGGATGGTATCCTCCCCCGGGTCAAGGATTCCCCCAAGGACCAGGCCAGTTCCCCCCTCATCAGATGCCTATTGGACCCCCTGGTCAGCACCAGACCCCTCCTCCGCAACGACAGGGGGCTCCTGGCGCAGGCCCCGTAAATGTCCCTAAACCCACCTCGGAGCTTCCCGTTGGTGATCGGCCATCCAGTAAGCCCGCCAGCCGGAATGCCACACCCGCACCTGCAGCATCTGCTCAAAGTGCTCCTCCGCCCCCTGTTGAATCGAAACCTTCTGTAACGGAAGCCGTACAAGCCTCCAGTATTCCTGCTGCGGCGGCGCCTCCGGGCCTGACCAAGATCCCACCTACTGGACCCCGGAGCGGACGTGTGCAGCCGGCGATCCCGATCACGGCTCCCTCCAAGCCACCTGTCCCTGCTGTAGGCAATCCTCCCATGGCCAGTGCTGGAAACACCGTGCCGCAAGGTACTGCTCAAGCTGCTATCACTGAAGCTACGCGCGCTGCCACTGCGGCTGTTGCGGCGGCCATGGCCAAGTTGCCTCAGCCTAATGCGCCGAAGAAGCCAGGGCACGGCGATGCGTCGGTTGAAGGAGTAACCAGACAGCTGGCGGAAATGAAGCCCTACGAGGGCAACCGCGCGCCTCGTGGTGGCCATCAGCATCCTCGCGGTGGACGTGGCGGTCACCGCGCTCCCTACCCTGGACAGTCCAAGAAGGTCGAGGTCCCTGAAACGGACTATGACTTCGAGACTGCCAACGCCAAATTCAACAAGCAAGACTTGGTCAAGGAGGCAATTGCCACCGGCTCGCCTGTGCATGAGGGTGAGGCCGCGTCTATCACCAACGGTGACATTGAAGCATCCGATGCCGGCGCCGATTCGTCCGTGACTGCGTACAACCGGGCAACATCCTTCTTCGATAACATCTCCAGTGAGGCTCGTGATCGTGAGGAGGGAACGGGAGCCCGTGTGGGTGGCCGGGAATGGCGCGGCGAAGAGGAGAAGAGGAACATTGAAACTTTCGGCCAAGGCAGTGTTGACGGATACCGGGGCAGCTATCGTGGTCGTGGCCGGGGAAGAGGCTATGGCCGTGGCCGCGGTGGCTACAACCGTGGGTACAACAACTCTCGAGGCCGCGGCGGCCTTCGCGGAGGTCGCAATCCCTCACAGGCGACTGGCGTCCCTGCACAGACATAGTCGGTTATCATTACGCCCACGTTATTTTTCCATGTTGCAACTTGTGCTTTTTGCGTTTAGCGGTGACTGTTTTCTTTCCTTTGGGGAGTGTTGAAACCCTTCCGCAATTTTCTGCTTCTGATATCCCTGGCGTCTGATGGAGCATCCTACGAATACTTGACCCGGGCATTGTACGTGCCGGGACTTTCGGATTGTGATTGGGATCACTATGGGTTACGGTGGGATTGGTGAGTAAAGTGCCGGGATGGTTTGTTTGCATCTGGTGTCAAATTTGGCGTTCATATCCGCATGGGTTGGTGGTGAACCTCGATTGCATCGCTTTATCTGGACGATGATCATGTTTTTCTTGTTGCAGCCGCCTGAGGGAAGTGCGGGCCTTGTTCGAGTCGCTTGATCTCGGAGCAGCTCTGCTGGTTCCGCCTATTCGGTGTCTTTGCTATCCTCCTGGTCAGTGGAGCATAGCCGGATGACCGTTGTCTGTATCATATCCACGAAGATTCCCCTATGAATGCAAAACACAAAAAAGGAGGCCAAATGGGCTACCACCAGTCTTTCCCTTGATGGTCCTGTCATCCGTACTCCGTTGTCTACTTCGTATACTTTTCTGCAGCGTGCGGGGAAACGTGCCCTTGGCTGCTCTTCCCTGCTCGGTTCCGTGGAACCAGCGGGATCCTCGGCTGCTCAGGGTCCAGTGAAGCCACTCGCTGCCACCACTGATTCGTGCATTGCGAGTCAATCCGCCTTCGCCTCAACCCGAGGGCATATCATGCCAAGTTCGACAGCCCCGTGGGGCCCAGCCTCCATTTTCACGGTCGCTTGGAGGACCAGAGCCTATTGCCGGGCAGCCAAGAGCCTGTCCGACTCAAATTTGGCCGAGGATTGACGACACTCATCATAGTCCCACCCCGGCTCCATGAAAACCAGGTTAGCACTAGCCGAAGACGAGAGAAACACGGCAGCTGGCCCATATAAGGATGGATTTGACCAGGGCTGGGGAATTCAGTGATAAAACTGACCAAATAGCCGAGAACTTATCAGCCTTGATAGCCACCCACTTCATCTACGATGTCTGTCCCCGGCGCACAAGTTCCTGACCAGCTCCCCTGGGATCCCAATTGCACCCAATTCCCCTCTCGCAAGGAGCTCCCCAAGATCCCAGGTGCCCCGGAAGACGCTGCCTGGGTGTGGGGGAAAGATGACTCGGTACGTGCTGTTGAACCGAGGTATATATATGCATCGTCATCAGGATGGAGGTTAACGTAATCACCGTGGACAGCTCGGCCGCCTGAACCTGCTCACTCCGGACAGAGTCAAAGCTGCAGCTAAGGAGATCCAAACGGGAGAGATGATCCGGCTGGAGTGAGTGCTCTGCGCTGCTGCATGGATAGGCATCATGTCTCGAGAAGACTATACCGCTCACATCCATCCATCCCAGTCTCCCATTGAACATCCCCAACCCACCAGCCTTTGGTCGTGAATGCTTCCAGCACACCATCAAAGAACTCGTCAAAGACGTCGTATACGATGATACCTACACCTTGAACACGCAAAGCGGCACTCAATGGGACGGGTTCCGTCACGTACATCCTCCTCCTCCTCCTCCTCCTCCTCCTATCACATAGCTCTACTAACGAAGACATATAGTTCGCGCACCTGGAAACCAAGACCTTCTACAACAACGTACACCCCTCCATCACCA